GGACTGCTAAGCCAGTGCTAACTGTGCTAACTAAGTTGCTAGAGTTTAAATATATCAACTACAATGTCAGCAGATGGCCTTACATGTTTGTCATGGCAGGAGAATGTCTGCAGTCACACACACGGAATACTCATACAGTATACTCCGGGTGATTTACCGTACATTGTGACAGTACATGTATAGCTAACGAGGCTAGCTATGCATGTATAGCTAACGAGGCTAGCTATACATGCTAGCGGGAAACATTGTATGACCGAACGTAGCAGACTACCCGTAGAATAATGCAATTATAAACACGTTATTGCTAGCCTAATATGAACCACTAACTTTTGTTCATAGTAGTTTTATTACACTCCGTTCCTCCAAGCTAACGTTCATATCGTGTTAGCTACCAAGGTAAACAAAGCTAGGTTAGCATATTAGCAGGCAAGCTGTTCATTAGATATATCCACACTCCTACCACAACTACTACTAACGAATCTAAAACAACTAAGTTTCTCTAATATTTTGTGATTTGCATTTTATTTCGTCCAGACAGATCCTGCCGGACAATACATGACTGGACGACCACACTGAGGCATCGTCTCAAAAAGCCCCGGCTGCTATAGGCAAGATGCCGACAACAATATATGTATATTTACGTTCATTTTGTACATTTCTAAAAATAAAGTTTAATGGAAATACTTAGTAGGCCTATCCTTTCTTCCCTGAATTATTTGCACCTATAACATATCATTCATATATAGCAAACCATGATTTGATTTCTCATCAAACAGTAGTAGTTTATAACGGGTAAAAATAACTTACTCTTTGTTATGAGCGGCTCGTAGGCCACAACGGAAAGACAAGGAGACATACACGAGTTTACAAAACCACGGCACATTTATTGTGGTAAATGCAGAGATAGGTGGTTGAGAGGATCGCAGAGTTAGTCTTCCTGCAGCCGCTTTGGAGAGAGACAGGGGCCGTCGTGTGACTCCGGGCAGCTGGGCTTAATAGCACCTCGGCTCCGGAGGTGTCCGTGATCGCGCTGATTAGCCTCTTCAGCTCCACCCCATCGTAAGACAAAGGCCCTGGGGCCGTCACACTCTTCTATAACAACAGTTAAAAATATATATGTATATAAAATATACGGCTGTACCGACGCCATGATAAGACTGATGTTCCGCTGAGAGCAGCCGGGAAAAGCACTGAGACATGGGCGCAGCCTCTCTGGTGGTTGACTAATCAGAACAGAGTGGCCGAGCTGACCAATCGGAGCACACTAGGCTCACAGGGAGGGGGGGGCAAGAGCTCCAACGAGTCGTTTAGTGGAGAAAGTGAATACTGCTGAATACACATGCTTGACAGAGATGCTGTATGCGAAACCAATGTGAGTTTGGAAAATTGCACAGTATAAATCTATTTTAGTATACCTCAACAATGTAATTATGATCAGTGGAAATGGCCATGACATGGGCCCTTTAAGGATTTCAACTATAAGCTTCAGGATACTTTTGGGTGCATGCATATTCAGTAGCCTATCTGGCTTCATCATGTGATTAACTTAAATGTGTCTTCTTCATATGCAGACAATGTGTTTGCTTCCTCTTTTTCTGATCACTTCTTGTATAACAGTGGCCCACTGCTGACAGTCAAAGGTCAGGAGCTAGCTACAAAGTCAGGGTGACTAACATGTTTTTTAAAGCTTCAGGATATGCATTTCCCCAATAATATGCTCCTGGAGTTATGACTTTTGCACATGCCGTTCATGGAGTAACATGGAGTAACATTGAAGCTTGGATATTGTGGCTGGCTTGACAAAAAAACCTACTGGCTGCCAATACATTTCTTGGTCTTTACCAGCAAATAGAGTTTGCTCAGGTGTCATGGTTCAGTTGCTATCATGTGACCGGGCTAATTATCATGAATGGGTCATGTGATATTGAAATCACATCATCACATGTTTGCCTGTGGGCGAATAATAAAAGGTACAAACAGGGCTCTGAAAAAAAAAAAAAAAACTTTAATATATGTGTAGTTAGCAGATAACTTCCCTACGCAGAGCATGCGCCTACACATATAATAAGAATATTTCTTCTTATCCATAAGTGATTCTATGTTTGAATGAGGTCTGCGCTCTGATGCTGAGCTATTTGTAATAGTGATCACGTGTACTGTGCATGCTTCTACTATTTCAGAGATAAATATTGTCCTTTTTACTCCGTCACTGTAAATTCAAGTTAATTAACAGATTGTTGTATTATTAATGAAACATATAAAACAATTAATTATAATCTATTAATATAGATAAAGAGTATACTTTATGCTTCTTAAGGAAGTGATTGGCAAGAAAATATCTCCATGGAGAAAGGCCATGACCGTGAGAACAGAAAAAAGAGAGTGTCGAAAAGCTGAACGTAGGTGGCGAAAAACAAATCTCCAGGTTCACTTTGAAATCTATAAAGAGAGACTTGGCCTTTATAATTTGGAATTGAAAAACGCACGACAGTCTTTCTTCTCTGACATCATTACCAAAAACAAAAACAACGCACGTGCCTTGTTTGCTACCGTCGACAGACTAACTAACCCCCCAGTGTCAGTAGCCTCTGAATTTCTATCCACCAGGGCGTGCAATGATTTTGCCTCCTTCTTCACTGACAAAATTCAGAAAATTAGACAAGCAGTCAGTGCCTCTGCATCAGGTACAGCAAATGTGTTGTCCCTATGTCCACCTAATATCAATTCAAACACCATGACACAATTCCATCAGATTAATGGTAAAAACTTAGAGGACATTATTCAACTTCTGAAATCCTCCTCCTGCTGCCTTGATATTATTCCAACAGGATTTTTCAAAGATGTTTTTCCTTGCATGGCCTCAGATCTACTTCATATAGTAAACACATCTCTTCACTCAGGTATTTTTCCAGAGGCCCTGAAAACTGCAGTCATTAAACCGCTCTTAAAAAAGAATAATCTAGAATGCTTCAGTAATGAACAATTACAGGCCCATATCAAACCTGCCATTTCTAGGTAAAATCATTGAAAAAGTTGTATTTCAACAGTTGAGTAACTTCTTGCATTTAAATAACTGTTTGGATGTGTTCCAGTCAGGATTTTGTCCAAACCACAGCACTGAGACTGCTCTTGTAAAGGTCTTCAATGACATCCACTTAAACACAGACAGTGGCAGAACTTCAGTGTTAGTATTATTAGATCTCAGTGCTGCGTTTGATACTGTTGACCACAACATATTACTAGACCGACTAGAAAACTGGGTGGGACTTTCGGCAACAGTTCTAAATTGGTTTGAGTCCTACTTAAAGGACAGAAAAAACTTTGTTTCTATAGGTAAATACACATCTGAGTTGACAAATATGACATGTGGGGTACCTCAAGGCTCCATCTTGGGGCCTCTTCTCTTTAACATCTACATGCTACCACTGGCTCAGATAATGAAAAACAACAAAATAAGTTACCATAGCTATGCGGATGACACACAAATTTACGTAACAATTTCACCAGGAGATTATGCTCCAATTCAAACACTGAGTAAGTGCATTGAACAAATCAATGACTGGATGTGTCAGAACTTTCTCCAATTAAACAAAGATAAAACTGAGGTAATGGTTTTTGGAGCCAAGGCAGAACGTATAAAAGTTAGCGCTGAGCTTCAGTCTGCAATGTTCAAAACAACAGATAAAGCCAGAAATCTAGGTGTAGTCATGGACTCTGACCTGAGTTTCAACAGTCACATTAAAACAGTTACTAAATCAGCCTACTATCACCTAAAGAACATATCTAGGATTAAAAGACTAATGTCACAGCAGGATTTGGAAAAACTTGTCCATGCTTTTATCTTCAGTAGACTCGACTACTGTAATGGTGTCTTTACAGGTCTTACTAAAAAATCTATTAGAAAGCTGCAGCTAATTCAGAACGCCGCTGCTCGAGTCCTCACTAACACTAAGAAAGTGGATCACATCACTCCTGTTCTGAAGTCCTTACACTGGCTTCCTGTGTGTCAAAGAATAGATTTCAAAAATACTGCTGCTGGTTTATAAAGCTTTGAATGGTTTAGGCCCAAAATACATGTCTGACCTACTGCTAAATTATGAACCATCCAGATCTCTCAGGTCTTCAGGGACTGGTCAGCTTTCTGTCCCCAGAGTCAGAACTAAACATGGAGAAGCAGCATTCAGTTATTATGCTCCAAATATCTGGAACAAACTCCCAGAAACCTGCAGGTCCGCTGCAACTCTTACTACTTTTAAATCCAGGCTGAAGACTTTTCTTTTTGCCGCTGCTTTTAATTGAACTATTCACATCTTAAACTGCACTGTAACTTTTAACTTTTATCCATGTATTTTTTCTTTTAATGTTTCTTTTATTATCTTTTCTTTTTAATGACTGATTTTAAATGCCATTTTCATAATGTCTTCCATTTTTGTAAAGCACTTTGAATTGCCTTGTGTTGAAAGGTGCTATATAAATAAACTTGCCTTGCCTTGCCTTGCCTTGCCTTCTTTGGTGAACTTATTACAAACAGAAGATTATACAAAATAAACCTAACCTTTACAATATGCAACATCAGTCATTTACATTTTAATTAATTAAGACTTTAAGAATAATAACAATAGAATATACACTTTTCCTGAAATGTGTCTTTCTGCATAATAAAGAAAACATTTACCTACTGTAGACCATAGACTGTATATAGACCTTATGTTGATGCTAATTTGACCTACTTTTGTAGGCTACTTTTATTAAGTAAGTAACATTTTCAAAGCATGGCTTGTACTTAATAGAATATTTGCATATTGATGTAGACTATTTCTTTGTGCATGTCGTCATATGATAAGAGATTAAATGTGGCCTTTTAACAGAATCTATAAACATTGACTGACTCCAGTCTTTTATGTTTCCCCCGGACTACACTACCCAGCGTGCACCAGCACTTACGTAGGCTGGCCCGATTGGCTGACGTGGCCCCGCCCTTGATACTCCCCTCCCAGACTTCAGGTCGACTGACATGTTTTACTGCAGCAGAGGAGCTCAGAGTGCCGAAAACAACCACAGAAAACCTCAGAGCTATGACTTCTCACGCCAGCATGTGCTGCCGCTTGTTTGACAGACAGAGGAGTTCAAAACATTTCAGAAAACTCTTTATCCAGTGTGTAAATGGGAAAATTCAGCGACTGTATTCCGGTGCTACGCACAAGGAAAACGCTCTTGAACTTGGAGACTCGACTTCATCTGCTGCCAACTTTGATTCTTCTGTGAAAGCCCGGACAAAACAGGTAACCTAATACTGTGTACGACTTAAACTCGGTCCTTTTAGTGTGACTGTCTTAGTTATCATCATTATGACACCAGTTCATTTAGAAAAAACTGTGCATATTTCTTCATGAAGTTAATTGTTAAGCTATTTTATTTGACTACTATCAGTGACAGGGTGAATGATTTAAGGATTTAAACTATAAGCTTCAGGATACTTTTGGGTGCATGCATATTCAGTGGCCTATCTGGCTTCATCATGTGATTAACTTAAATGTGTTTTCTTCATATGCAGACAATGTGTTTGCTTCCTCTTTTTCTGATCACTTCTTGCATAACAGTGGCCCACTGCTGACAGTCAAAGGTCAGGAGCTAGCTAAAGTCAGGGTGACTAACATGTTTTTTTAAAGCTTCAGGATATTCTTGCATTTCCCCAATAATATGCTCCTGGGGTTATGACTTTTTTCTGGTTTATAGCCACTGATTCAACCTTAGACTTAGAGACCAAATATTGTTCATCAAGACCAGTAGAGGAACTAAGGGGCTCTCTCTATCTGGTCACATTTTGGTGACATTCTGATCATTATATCCAGAGATGGCGATAAGGCGGACCCCTGATGTTTGGTAGGATCCAAACATCAAAAATAAAATCATTTTAGTAAGTTATTTTTGTACAACCATCCATTACAAAAAACAAGCTTTTTTCTACTTTGGGTAGGGGCAACTCAACGCCTTTTTTTGTGATTTGTTCCTCAACAAGACGTGAAGTATGACAAAATAAATGTGTGTAAACAGAAGAAGTCCCGCAGATTTAGGTTTGCTAAACAAAAAGACATCCCAATGCTATTACCTTATTTTTCTTTGTAACAGTTTCATTTCACAGTACCATTGTCGTGTTTTTCCTTTATCCCCATCAGAGTCTAAGTGACGACAGCATACTACCCTTTTCGGCGTTCCTGACTGACAACTTTGGCAGGAGGCACAACTACCTGCGCATCTCCCTGACTGAGAAATGCAACCTGCGTTGTGAGTAGAGTCTCATTGTGACTTTAAAATATGTTCTTTTAGTTTATCCCGGATGCTGTTTATTCCGCTACTTGAAGAAACCACTTTAACCACTAACTTACCATTAACATCACAGCTCCTACTGCTGGGTAAAAGTGTAATAAAAATGATCTGGAAAGAGGATTAAAACAACAGGATATTAATTTTCATTTGTGAATTGAAATGCCCTTTGCCTAATAATACCAGAAAAAGAAGAAAATGCTCACTTCTGTACTTTGAGAGGTTTACAGTAGCTTAGGAAGATTAAGGTGGTAGTAATCAGCAGCGAATATTCATTGTGCACGTTTTTATCATGTGTAACGTTACTGTTGAAACTGCGGATAAAGCAGCTTCATCATGGCAACTGGACAACAACTAAGCTAAGCTACTACTTACAGAATTCAGGTGACTTTTCATAGTTGTTATGCCCAAAGTTTCGGTCAGATTTTCTTTTTGCCGGTCAACATGTCCGTTAAAGTTTAAATCTTCCGGACAAAATGAGAAAAGTGCCGGTCAAAGGTCTTCTTCCGGACAAAATGAGAAAAGTGCCGGTCAAAGGTCTTCTTTGTTATTTATTGAGCTTTAAAACAAATTGATATGATTCGATATTAAACAAACTAATTATAGTAGATTAACTACATTATTCAAAAGTGTACAGTAACTTATAATAACACAGGAATAATAAACGGAGTCCTCTCTCCCTCTCCTGACAGCCCGCCAGTATCTCATGCAGCTCGCTGATCCAGTAATGAGTGACCCGACAGTAAAACTAAACATATCTATAACTAGTTTAGGTAGATTGAGAGGTAATTAAAATAGCTAAGTGTGATTTTCTAACCTGAAGTGTGTGTTTTGCTCCGCTCACCGCTGCAGGTGATTATGCAGAGCTGCATGTCGACTCGTCAGCAGCAGCTGATCTCTCTCTCCCGTCAGATTAGACTTCACTCACGTTTATGTCCATATCGATCAGATTGTATATATTACATTTAGAAAAAAAAATAGTAGGCCAACGACCGGATATTCGGATATTCGGGTTCAGCCCTACAGGGTTCTTGCTTTCTTTTGTATCTTCAACGTTTTTGCACTTATTGTATGTTTTTTTTTGGGTTAAAAGGGTCTGCTGAATGAAATGTAATGTAAACATTTATCAAAGGTTTATTGATTTGAGTAGTGAAAGCATTCTTCGGAAATAAACGTAAGCTACAAGAAAATTCCAGAAAAAGGACACTTAACTGGTTAAGTCTTTAGTATATTGTTATGGATCCACCTTTGCTGTACTTTCTCCTTGACTTTACGTGTCTACCAGACGATATGTAAACCAGTAATTATTCAGGATAAAGCATATATTGAGTGGCAAATTACATAATTTTGTACCATTTCACCTACTCTCTATCTTCAGGTCAGTACTGCATGCCGGAGGAGGGGGTGAAGCTTACACCACGCGGCCAGCTGCTGTCCACCTCAGAGATTCTGACCCTGGCTCGCCTCTTCGTCCAGGAGGGGGTGGAGAAAATCCGCCTCACTGGAGGAGAGCCCCTCATCAGACCTGATATCCTGGATATCATCGGTACGGAGAAATTGAGTTGAAAGAGTCTTGTTATTTCATCTCATGGAAGGGTGCATTAAACCAGGACATATCAATTATTATTATTATTTTATTTTATTTGGTACAGGCCAGAGATGCACATAAAGAACACGACAGTATGATGAGATGAGACAATACCAGCTCACATATATATATATTTAAGACAAAATAAAGTTATTATGCTTTTTGGGGTCTCACTTTCTGTAGTGTGTTGTATAGGTTTTTGTCCATCTAAATTGTCAAAGGCTAAACTGCTAAAGTTCCCTCCAGAGGGAGTTTTTTTTCCCACACACTCAATCAGAGCAGACTGGGCTCTGGTTTCAGACAGAGGGTGAAAAGAGGTGCTGCAACACAGGCAGTATGAGAAAAATAAAGACCGTTTTGATCATTAAAGCATGAAACATGTCATACTTGTGGTGGGGGCTATGTGCTTAGTCTAATGACGCATTATCCCATCATAATTTTACAGCCTAATTTTAATATTAACCATTGTAATTAAGGTGATCAGTTCCTGACAATTGCGCTTGTGTGCGCAACATTAAAGCATGACATTCGTGAACAAAACATGTGTTGTGACCAATGGGCAATGACTATGTAGAAAGGAGACCTAAGGCTTCCTCATGCCCAATAAAGATCATCAATTATCTCTGTGTCATGTGACAAGCCTCCACTATGACCTTACATGGCCTCACTGTATTCTTTGAAGATGAATAGTGTAGTTTTTTAAATGCAGGCTAGGACTGGACCATGACAGTCGTTTTTTAATGTCCTGCCGTAATCATGACATAAGTGAAATGTTAAGGTTTTGTTAATAAAAGCTTTCTTGCATATTGATCATGAGGTACTGTGCAAAAAAGCAGAAAACTCAATGTACATTCAATCATTCTCTCTTTGACGTAGAGGACATCAACCCATTTTATGCAATGACACTAATATGACTACATCCCCCAAATTGGGTTGCACAATTGGTTAATTTCCAAGCTACAGTTATTATAATATATATATATATATATGACACAGAGATACAGTTTTTCTCTCTGTATCTCACTCTCACTCTCTCCGTTTTTCCTTTTCCTTGTGCTCATGTGTCTCTTCCTCTACAGCTGAACTGAGGAAGTTGGAGGGCCTGAAAACCATTGCAGTCACAACCAACGGCATGAACCTGGCCAGGCTTCTGCCTAAGCTGAAGGATATCGGTCTTGACCTGATCAACATCAGCCTGGATACACTGGTCCCGGCCAAATTTGAGTTCATTGTCAGGCGGAAAGGTACAGAAATGTGTTTGAGTGTAAGCTTAAGCGATTTGAAACTGTAATAGGAGCTAGATAACCGTTTTTGATGCCCTGCTTCAAAGTCATCTTTAAATTACATTAAGTGTTTGATACTGTACTTAAAGAGGCCCTGTTATGCTTATATTCAGGTTCATATTTGTAGTTTGTGCCTCTATTGTGACACGTCTCCATGCTTTAATGTTCAAAAAGGTGCTCATACTGCCTGTGCGGCAGCACCTCTTTTCACCCTCTGTCTGAAACCAGAGCCCAGTCTGCTCTGATTGGTTGGCTGGGCGGTTCTATGGTGATTTGTCAACCGCTTAGAGATGTCCCCTAAGCATATCACATACAATGTGTTGGAGTGGTAGCCAATAGAAGTGCGATTGTTACGTAGTGTTTTCACTATGTTACATCAGTAAACTACCAGTAAACTACGAAGTGTGTGTCAGGCAGGGGGGATTGTGTGGAAGAGGAACTCTACAGGAAAAAGAAAACCCAAAAAGCATAATAGGGCCCCTTCAAGTATGCCTTAGTGGCTTCAGTTAAGTTGTATTTTGTCTTTGCCTGAATCATGTCTCAATGTAGAATTACCATTATACTCCAAGAGACTTGTGTTGTTTGGTCCTCAGTTTCCTTGACAACTCTTATCTCTAGGATATAAGGAAAGATGTGGCACATTAAAGTGTTTCTTCTTCTACTGTGAACTACTACGTCTCCTAACCTTAAGCACACATGTGGTATTTACAGAGGGAGTTACCAGCCAGCGTGACACTGCCATGGTTTGTGCAGATGAAAAATGATGTGTGACTTTTGCCAAAAAAAAGCTCCGACTGCTTCTGAGGGAATAAATGTAGATTTTACATATCAGTGTTTTTTGGCCAATCATGGATTCAGACAGCTTAGAAAAGGAAGCAAACAGTTAATGCTGAAGTATGTTGTAAAGCTCTGCCAAGCGGAAGTAGCCCACATTTGGAGAACATGAATCCATTTTAAGTTTATGTGCTTGTAGTATGGCTCTATACATTTTAATTTAAAACGTCCCTCCAATCATACTCCGTCTTTGCCTCGTAGCACAAAATTCAAGATATCACAGTAAAACGAATGTGTTCATATATAATTATTCATAATTGAATGGCGTTTAAACACTCATCAATTTCTATCCATGTTTTTCCTCAAGGGTTCCACAAGGTCATGGAGGGCATTGATAAGGCCATCGAAATGGGCTACAACCCTGTCAAGGTATTTTGTTCATGTTGTTAAAATGTTTTACCTTGGAACAAATGAATATTTTGCCTAATTTTATGTTAAATCATTATTTTTATGTCTTAAAAAGAACAAAATGTTAATCTTCTTATTTCTTGCATCTTGTTTATATTTGATTTGTTGTGTTTTTGTTCTACATTTTTTTTTTACAAAAATGTAGAACAAAAAGATTGATGTCTAATATAGTAACATTTTTTATATTTCCTTAACATTTTAAATCCTTCTTTTCATGTCTCTGTTTGAGAACATATTTTTATGTTTTAATCTTTTTTTATGTGTGATTTTAATTAAATTATTTTTGTCATTTAATATGAACGATATTTACAGAAAACAAATATATGGTTACTGAATCATACGTTTTGGAAATAATATGGCTCGATACTCATAAATAAGGAACTCTTTTCAGTGATACATTTACCATGTTGTATTTGGACCCCTTGTCTCTTAATAATCTGATAACTTTTTTGAATGCTTCAACTATGTTTCCTCTCACTAACTCTTAATGCCAAAGTGCTGTGGCAGCACAGTGTCGTAACAATATTGCTGAATATAATATTTCATCCATATCCTAACACTTGCACTCAAAGGTTAGAAAGTCATTGAGCTGCTCCCTGATTCGCTGTCTGTGTCTAATGCTACCTACCATAGTTCCCTATTGCACTGTGCATGGAAGAAAGAGAAACAAGCTAATGAACAAAGCAACAATCTGAACAGGCTCACATACCCTGGTGTGTTGCCCCCTGCAGGTTAACTGTGTGGTGATGCGAGGCCTCAACGAGGATGAGCTGCTAGATTTTGTGGCGCTGACAGAGAAGAAGCCTCTGGATGTGCGCTTCATTGAATACATGCCCTTCGATGGTGAGTGCTCCTTTCCCACAATGTCTTGTTACGCAGGTCTGAAAACTGAAGAGTCATATTACAGTCATAGTTTAGACATTCAAAGTTGGGATGCATGATATGATCTGAGCACAGATACAGTAGGTGGCGGTATGCACCTTTCAAGCTGGTTTGAAAACTGCCAATAAACAAAGATAAAAAAACAAGTGCAGCCCAAGACCCCAGGAAATAGCAGCCAAACCATGGATGTATAAAGAGAACAACGTTGGAGGGGGGACCTCGTTCATTCCTATGAATGTTGCTCAATTGCACATTAAGCCAAATTGGCCTGCCCCTCGAGAGCAAAAGTACCCGTACCCGGGCCCATAGAGCGTGCACGGTTGGGTTTTCAAATGAATGAAGAGGTAAAAGAACTCTGCATTCAGCTTTTAGCACACTTTACAACTTTTACACCCTATTGAAGAAATAAGGGCTATACATGTGTTCGTAGTGGGTAATACATTTTGTTTAAAAAAATGATCTGCTGATTTACACACAGCGGTAATTTGTTTCAACGTCCTGCGCACTTCCTCAGGGCTTGGGCCAAAAGGTGGTACTACAACTTCGTCTGTAAATCAGCAGATCCTAAATCAACCACCCATTGTTAACATGTCTCTTCAGTTCAACTTGCAGAAACCTAACTGATGTACTACTACACACACATCGGTTGTTATATTGCCTAGGAGCTGAATTGTGCTGTAGCTTGTGCTACAATCTACATGACAATGCTTCTCTCCTCTCTGCAGGAAACAAGTGGAACTTTAAGAAGATGGTGAGTTACCAGGAGATGCTGGACCACATCAGGCAGCAGTGGCCCAACCTGGAAAGGCTTGAAACCGGACACACAGAAACAGCCAAGGTCAATACCTCAAACTGCACTTAATATTTCTCAAGTATAAATGTTATGGCTTATTAAAAGCTAATGTACTTTCTTGCTGTTTGTGTCCTAATGGTTGCTTCCACTCATTATTAAAGACTTTGGATAAACACGTCAGCTTAATGAAATATAATGTGATGATCAATTAGTTAGTATCCAAAAAAAGCAATGATGCTATTACCATTCAATCCTGTTGAGGTTATTGACTGTAGACATTGTTCTTACTTCTGGCACTTTGAATCGTTCTAAATGACTTGAATGTTAGTTTGACTCTAATCTTTCAGCACACATCTGTGTTGCTGGAGTCATTAGTTTATAAGAAGTTGGCCAACGAAAAACTGAAATACAAGAGAAAATCTTCTGACACATCTTATCAAAGCAATTTGCCAAATCAATCATTTTGTTATTAAATGCGCCACATTTGAGAGTATTTTTTTTTCTAGGATAATTGTTTGACCCTTATTTATGTCTTGTTACAGACATTTAAGGTCCCAGGCTTCAAAGGGCAGGTGGGCTTCATCACCTCCATGTCTGACCATTTCTGCGGCTCCTGCAACCGCTTACGTATCACTGCAGACGGCAACCTGAAGGTAAAGCTACAGTTGGGCTTCTAGAAGTATTAATGTGGTCTGATTTAGTATTGATATTTTGTAATGCAGTATTTGTGTTGGTGAACCTATACATTTACATATTGTTAATGATCCCATCGTTTCTTTGGAACCTTTATTGATTCTATTTGAAATGTCTTGGCTTCACTCCTTCTTACCTTTCTCCTCTCAGGTGTGTTTGTTTGGGAACACTGAGGTGTCTCTGAGAGATGTGTTGCGCTCCGGAGCATCGGAACAAGAGCTACTGCAAATCGTTGGAGCTGCTGTTGGCAGGAAGAAGAAACAACATGCAGGTAGACTTGTGATCGTTTGAGTTCATTTATAGTAAACGCATCACTGTGGAGTGTAAACCCCTAAAAAGCCTTTTTGCACTTTTTGGTTCACTCGTCTCAAAGTCAATGGGTTTTTGGTTAGCCTGAAATAAGGTCTGTGGTTTATGAGAGATGTTCACGTTTACTTATTCGGTCAGTAAATACCCCACTTTTACCCCAAATGTTCAAGTCAAAGTCAAAGTCAACTTTATTGTCAATCTTCCAGTTTGTGTGTACAGACAGAGAGATCGAAATACTGTTTCCCACAATCCTGAATATAAAAACAAATGTATATAGAATATCAAAATATGAAAATAAAAATATTTGTGCGAATATGTATGTATATACACAGTCAAAGACGCATTTTTGTGCACATATTAAGACCTAAATAAAAACACAACAATCAATATATACAAAATAACAGTCACTTCAATATTTTGAGAATGTACATTAGTGCAGATTGTCCATCCAATAAAACAAACAAACAAATGCTGACAAGTGGCTAAAAGAGACTAACCGTCATCATGCCAAACACTAGGGATGCTCCGATCGATCGGCCGCCGATCGTTATCGGCCGATATTCACTCTCGGCCGATCGATCGGTGCTCTCTATAAAGGCCGATCAGGAGAGCCGATCACATGACGTAAAATACATGACACTTTTCTCTGTGCGCGGCAAAACAAGCTCGCCAAAATGGCTTCTCTAGTCTGGCAGTATTTTAAGGTGTCCGAAAATGACAATAACATAGCGGTATGCAACGTGTGTGAAGCAGAAATCCTGCAGCTCTGTCCGCTGTGACGGACCGGTGAGCGGAGCGAAACACACACTTTAGACCTAACACACTTAGCTATTTTATCTACCTTTGGAACAAGCTAAACTAGTTATAAATATGTTTATTCTTCACTGTCGGGTCACTCATTACTGGATCAGTGAGCTGCATGAGACGATACTGACAGACTGACAGGCTGTCAGGAGAGAGAGAGAGAGAGAGAGAGAGAGGAGGAGAGAGGAGGAGAGAGGGGAGAGAGAGAGAGAGAGAGAGAGAGAGAGGGGGAGAGAGAGAGAGGAGGAGAGAGAGAGAGGAAAAGAGGAAAAGAGAGCGCTTCCGCTCATTTCTCCCGTGTTATTATCCCAAGTTAATGTAAACTTGAATAATGTACTTCATTTGAATGTAATAATTATGTTGGTTGTTGTTTGTGGAAGCGCCAGTGAATGAGCCCCATTAACTGAGTTTTTAAATGGAAGATCTCCATAGGCTCCTTCCACTCGATCGGATCGGCGATTGGTATTGGCCGATACTGATTCCGGCGATCGGCCCCAAAATTGGCGATCGGAGTATCCCTACAAACACTATTCCTCATGTAACTTAGATCTGGTGACATTTCTCTGTAGCCTAACGTTAGCTTTTGACTTCTGTTCATTGCTTTGAGCTTCAGAGGAAGGTCATTTGGGAAGATTATTTTTGCTGAACAAAGCATGTACCTGTATAGTGTTTTTTCTCAATCACCCAAAATCATAATGGCTTTTTGTCAAGGGAAACAACGCAAAGGCAATTTCCAAATGAGTCACCCCTGCAGCACTCTTTAGTCTCATAATATCAAGGATCATTTGTTCAGTTTTGATCTCTTCCTGTTTGTCTCCTCAGGCATGTTCAATATTTCCCAGATGAAGAACAGGCCTATGATCCTCATTGGTGGGTGACACGGCTGTACGTACAAATCTCTCGGAGACACTCTGCTTAGTCGTGACTTATTTGTGATTTGATGATACTAATGGGTTACACCACTATAGCTGTCCTACATATCATACAGATTTCAACATTTACATTTGAACTTATAACAAAAGAACACTTTAATCTGAACTGTGAATGTTTGTTGTGTTTGGTGACTCTGTCTCCTTGACTAACGTCCTCTTTTCCAACAGACACTACATCTGAAAGGCATTTGTCTCTGCCAAAGTCTGAAGACAAAACGACATCTTCCCCCATAGTTTCCCATTTTACAAACAACACATTCCTCTCTCCAACAGCGGCTCCTCACAGGAGAGTCCTGAATAGAGAGGGTTTTTTTTGCCTTTCAGACTGCACTGCTTCAACACAGGCAGCCCATGTTTGCTGCCTTAGAACCTTAACGAGTGGGGGTACCGGTGTTATGTCGCATATCAACACAAATACACGCACAAATGTCAGGAGCTACATTAATGAAGGCTGTCTCAGGTACGCACAAGCCAGGGGTCATAATGCTTTGAAGAGCCACTTACTCAGGCCCCCAGGAACACCCACTTGTTGCACATTACTCATGAATGCCAAAATTAATCTTAAACAACACAATGTAAGACTGTGCCACAATCAATGCTCCAGCAAAGACCCCAGTGTCAAACTCAGACAATCTGTGAGTGATCAGACGCAGTCGGGCACAAATGTCTATAACACTGAGCTGGATGTAGCCCAGCTAACGCATACAGACACACAGGGCCGAGCCAACATGGTGGATGTTGGGGGGAAAGTTCCCACACGTCGAACAGCCACAGCCCGCGCCACCGTCATCCTGGGCCCCACTGCTTTCCGGCTGCTTCGGGATAACCAGCTGGCTAAGGGTGACGCCTTGACCGTGGCGCAGCTGTCTGGCATCATGGCTTCCAAGCAGACCTCAGCCCTCATCCCGCTCTGCCACCCCCTCCCCTTAGACCACGCCTCTGTCACCTTCGACCTGGACGAGCAGCAGAACGCTGCGGTCATCACAGCAACGTGTCGCACTACGGGCAAGACAGGAGTGGAGATGGAGGCCCTGACAGCCGTTTCCGTTGCTGCGCTGACCATCTATGACATGTGCAAGGCAGTGAGCCATGACATCATCATCACTGATGTGATACTGGTCAGTAAGACAGGAGGGAAGAGGGACTTTCATCGTCATCCCTGACTTAGTCCCTCCACTGACTGCATCAATCTTCACTGGCGTTGTAATATTTTTCTACAAAAATGAAATGTATGCCATCGTAATAATTAAAAAATATATGCTTTTATCACATGGAGTTCTACACACATACCAGTAGTTAGCTTGATTTTCATCTCCACTAACATTGTACCGAGATTAAATGACTTGATCTCTCACTAATCCCATACAATATGAATCATGGTATCTAAACAGTATATGTTTAATTTAAACTAGAAGATCTTAATTATTTCAGTGCCATATGTGTTAATATTTATTTCCTGTAAGACATTCAACCAGTTGCAAGTGAAGAGCTTAAAACAGTTGGTCACTAGAGGGCACTCAAGATTCACAGGCCTCCCTGTTGGAACAAACTGAGGGCGACCCTATTGTATTCACATGTTGAATGTATTCATCTTTTATTTAACTACATCAACTTGAGTGATTTCAAGAAAGAGGGAAGCCAGGGTGCAGAGTGTATGTTTTGATGTCAGCTGGGGACATGGCAGTGAAACATCACATACGGTAGTCTATTTTCCTCTGCTTTCCTACATTACCCTTATAAACAGCAACTAGAAAGTCTTTATAATTGAATTTTGGGGTCCGGGGGTTGCTTTCATAATTTTGTCTATGGTGATAATTGGTAAAGGATTCCCTCTCAAGTTGGGCATTTAAGTAGAATTGGTTCTCTTTTCCTTCCTCGTACAGCATGCTGTAAACACTGGATAGACTGTGCACTCATACCTTGTTACAGTAGAGGATAACTATAGCTTAACTGTTTTATTTAGCTGGTGGTTCAATATCCACCTTCTGTATACTGGGTGGCTGATTACACTATTACATTCATTATACTACATGATTACATTATTTTTGTTGTGTTATATTTACCCTAGAAAGAAATTCATTGATTATGTTTGTTGATTTGATGGTAGCACAACATGTGTAATTCAACTGCCTGCACAACAACAGATGCAGCCTGTATGTATTATGTTTCATATTCATGTTGTCAGTTCTAATGTAAGTATGATCATCACTAGTTATACAGGTTATAGCTTTTGTATCATGGCAAATAGTTGATTGTATTATTCGCTCTGCTTTCAGCTCACTTCATTGCACTGCTTTTTATTTCCATAAGTGAAAGCAAGCTGTGCACATTTATTTTCCTTAGAGAAATCAAAGTATTCTTCAATCTTTCTCCTGCGATGTCCATTGTGGTTTAATTAAAGACAATTGAAAAAAGGGGTTTATCTTTAAAACATAATTTTTTTCAGGTCAAAAATGTTTTTTTAAATTTCAGTTCAATAATTGCATTTGATTAATAGTCAACAGTTACCTACATATGGGCTTAGATATGTCTCATTATTTGTGTGAACAAATAAATGTGTACATTTGTAAATCTTTTAAATGCATTTTTGAATGGTGTTTTACATTTACAAATCACATATTTACACACAAATGATTTGTATGTTCACACAAATAATGAGACATATCTAAGCCCATAGTGGAAAGGGATTGGCAATGCCACATAAAACTTCAGTGTACAAAAGAGATTTTGAATTATTTTCTGAGTAGATTTCATTCATTTCATTTTGAACTGCAAAACAAACTTTCAGCTGCACGTTGCATCATACAGTACAGGCTGAATGATCAGCAGACTGTAGATAATACAACAATAAAAAAAGCACTTAAAAGTAAATGTAGGCCTTGTAACTTAGTCACCAGCACTTACAATGATATGGCTTGCTTGAAGTGAATATATCACTTTCCTTGTTGGTCGGAGTTTGAATCTTTATGGTTTTTGCACTTATTGTAAATCGCTTTGGATAAAAGCTTCAGCTAAATGTAATGTAGTGAGTCGCTGCCCCTCAGTGGTGACAGGGAGGAATTACAACACATTAATTCAGAGGAAATGTACACTTTTAATGTTTATCATCATTATTCTTATAACGACTGCATCACTATTATTAATAAAGATTTAAGAACTTATGTTGAAAGCATTTGTGATTCATTTCCATAGGGTTTTTCACGTGGAAAAGATGACATCAGGTTGCAAGTAATAATTACTTTTATTATCAATAAATCAACCTTTTGTATTGTTCAAGCGGTGAACATTTGGTCTTTAAAATATCTGAAAAATATATAATTTAAAGGTAAAATGAAAATATCAAAGTATTTCAAAATATTTTAAATTGTTGTAGAATAATTCCTGTCAATGGGCTATGAATAGACTAATTATAACAGAACCATTGTAAATTATTGCACACTTTGGAGCACATTTATATTTAACTAAACAGTGTAAGCATGTAGAAATCATTCTCACAATCAGTTGTAAGGGACAAAGGTTTATTGTAACCCTACAAAAGGACCAGGGTAACAAAAAAACTAAACGAAAATAATAGAAATGAAAGAGAAAAGAAAATAATTCTCATACGTCATCCTTTTGTCTTAAAACTATACACGGACCACAGTTTAATTATTCATATCTTTAATATAACAATTTGTCGTAATGCTGTGTGGACATACAAAATATAGCAAACTAAATAAGGCAAATAAATAGCGGTACAATTTACAGGAAAATTGAACATTCCTCAATGTTTTAATTATTTTTTTTATTACCTTATCTCAAACATCAAGAATGGTGTACAAAATGCTTTTTCCACTTCTGTACATCTTTCGGTGGAGGATACCTTTTCTTTCCAACCTTAAAAATACTGACTGCTCACAATAATACAACATCTGAAACTGGGTGCATTTTTCTCAGGCAGTACAAATTGTTGTGTAACAGGTGTGTATCATATTGCAAGCAATATTCTAATAAACTCAACACATCACACTTTGTGCACCCCTCTTTAGGCATGCAGGTCAACGCCAAGTGCATGATTTGACAGAAATGTGGCGGTGTCAGAAATACACTTTTCTTTTTACAGGTGACCCAGACTGGTGGGGGTTAAAAACTCTGTTAATGTGTATTCAGCGGAGTCCAAACCTCACTTGCCCCTTTTCTCTCTTCTTCACACCATGCTTTTTTGCACCACTCTTTCGTTGCACCCCTCTCATATTTAAAAAAGGGCTCTAAGTCCTCAAAATAGCGCTGCAAATTAAAATGTCCCCTGACAAAAGTGCATTGAACAAGCTACTAATTTCATTCCTTTTCCATCTGTACACTACAAAATCAGCCAGTCAATGGCCGAATAAACATCCAAGCATGTAACAACATAATCCTAATAATACTGAAAATATTACAATACCCCTCAGTAAATAGTCTGCACTACAAAACGTGTTAAAGCTCTGGATTAAGAGTTGAAAGGGGCTGCCAAAGTCTGATATACCAACCCTGGTTTACTGGAAAGACAAAAGAGCAGAGGTTAGGAAATCGAATAGCTCAAATATACATGAGATGCTGGTTAGAGAATAAGCAACCATATGTCATTTTCCCCTTAGGACTTTTCAAAGTGTCTGATTGGATTCTATTTGGATTACTGGTTATCCTCTAAAGTGTGGGACAAAGGAACTTAAAGATCTGCTCTGCTCTCTCTTTGTCCTTTAACCTCATCATAGCATCACTCTGCAAACAAAACAAAGAACTATACACATGGTAGGAGTAGGTTTCTCTGCAATGTGACTGATAAAGGATGGAATAAATAAACGTTTAGGGAAAAAGGAATTCCTCTCTACAGGTAGTATGTCGGACATCACATGGCAGCCATAGTACACCTGCCGGACTTTAATTGAGGGAACTTTGGTGAGCTGAAGCCTAGAGCTTGGAACAACTGCCTATGGAAGAGTATTAAGGCCAGGTAAGAGGTGGAAATGATTCATGTTGTTTTTAAGAATGAAGTTGAGAATAGAGTCAAAATACAGAGAATAGTCTTTGAAATATTTAGGATCAAGTTGTTGAGAATGGAGTCAAAATTAAAGAAGGTTAAACTTTTCAGAATAAATCTACTCAATTAATTTGCATCTACGCAATGTTCGACTTTATTCTCTAAAGGCAAGACAAATACAAATAATGTCCTGCTGCCTGCTGCCTGGCCCTTCCACTCTTCTGAAGAGTCGCATAATGTTATCACTTTGGAGAGCTGCTATCTGATGTTTGTGACGTCAGGTGGAACATGAAAGTGCACATCTGAGGCCACAAGATGGCGCCAATTAGTCCAATTCCAACTGTCGGCTAGCAAACACTGTGTATTATTTTGGAAAGCCACAAGCACTAAAACACAATGATAGGAATGGTACATGTGTGAAAACAGGTGAGAGGCACTTCAAGGTGAAAATAAAAACAAAACAGGAAAGCTGGCAAAATGAATGAGAGACAAAACTGGGATAGCTGTATATATAGATGCTCAATAATTCATTGGAAATGTCTTTTTGTGTGTATTTGAACACTACTGTTAATACACAAAGTGCTTATTGAGACAAGTGCAATTAAATAGTTTCTTATTTAAAGTGATACAAAGGATCTTCAATATGAGCTATTTGTGTTTAACTGTAACTGTTACTATGAGAACAACCATGTAAATCCAACCCCTTTCCAACTGATCCAGGAGCTGTTGGGCAAATGCTTTGGCGCAACAGCTCCGGGATCTTACCATAATAAGGACACATGCCAAACAGAGGAAAATTAAACACGGGATGTGTCCTTTATCTTTTTTATCCTCTCCAAAGAAGACCAAGTCCAATTTCCCACTGTACTGTTGGACATCACATAAAGCCCTGCTGTGCTGCAGGAACCATGCAATGCAGATGGAATAACTCAAATGGGTTGCAGCCATGGTCATGCCTACTGCCATCTACGGAGGAGGATTAGGGCCACATGTGAATGTATTTTTGGATATTGCCAAAAGTGATTTATTTTTTCTTTGAGTTCTGAAAAATCTGAATTCTCAATTCTGACTTTTTTTTCCACATTTCTGACTCTATTCTCTGGAAAAAACAACACTTGTGGCCCTAATGATCTTCCATATTAACAATTTAGAAATGCATATACAAATAATAAAAGAATGAATACGGTAAAAACTTAAAGAAAAGAGACCTAGGTTGGCAACAGGATGTGGACTCTTGTTTGGCAACATGTTGCCCATAGTAACAGGGACTGAAACATCTGAGAGAAGATGGAAGGAAAGATGGAAGTAAGGATTGTTTTCTATGACGCTCTCTGAGGCGCTATAAGTGCTTTGTTGTACCCTGACTTACGTTGGAGACTGATCAAATGGTTTATCTGACATTACTATGCCAATTTAAATAAAAATCCACATAAATACTGCATTATAAGCCTTAAACCAAGTAACCGTACGGAGGACCAGAAGGGCCATTTCTGCTATTCTTTTTGTAATAGCGTCTCATGCCACAAGACAAAAGCTAGTTTTCTCGGGATAACTGATTACTGTAGGTCAATTCCAAGGAAAAGAAAGGCGGATTTGTTGAGATAATAAGATCACAAGGAAAAACAATTTTTAGTTTTTCAGAATCTCACAATAATGATGTAATTTAAAAAAAGTTGTGTCTTGTTCACACATGGTTTTAGCCTTTGGTCACAGATGATTTAAAACTGAAAAGTAACTACTTTTGTATTGGTCTTCTCCTGATATGACTATGGGTTATGTGAATATTATCTCTTTCAAAAAGACACAACTCCGTTTTCAGTTCGATGGAACCACAATCTGATGCGTTCATTAATAATGGGTATTCCATGATCTGACTTTGTAAGCTTAAATCAGTTGCTTTAGTTGTCGCGTCGTCATATATATGTATTGTACTCCTGATCTCATAAACATACATTTTAAAGTAAAATAACCTTTCATTTTCTTGTGATAACGGGTTGATTATCTGGAGATAGCAAAGCTTGTTTTTTTTGGCCGCCGTACTAACCGAGTGATCAAGCACTAGTTTAACTTAATAAACCCTAAACTCAATTCATACATGGCATTCCTTCATTATCTTTGTTCTGGGGGAAGGTCATTGAAGTACAGAGAGGACTTTTTCCAGAGGACCCTGTAGATCGGCTCATGGAGTGTAAAGTTGGTCAGAAAAGCTACAGTGCAAACAAGACATACAGGTGTGAAAAGGACAAGCAATTTTCTTTTTTCTTTTTTTTTACATAAAGCGCAAAATGTATAGAAATTCACTTTAACAGCAATGTGAACTTGCAACACCAACAAATAATGCATTGCGTGTACAAAACCCCAAAACGCCATGAAAACATAAAAAAAACCTCTACATCTTTGCAATTAGCTTGTCTGCATCTAAATATAAATATATATCAACGCCTAATTGCAGTATGTTTTCTATTAATACATGTACATTTGTTTTGCTTTGGCACGGGTTAATGCCAGAACAATGTCAAAAGCAGTTAGGAGTGTAGGTGAGGATTGACCCTTGTGGCACAGTCATCACTTTTGAGTTTTTCCTTGAACAGAGTATCGTCTTAAAATCGAACCTTGGGATGTACGTACGTCCTTCCTGGGAATGCTGTGCGCTGGAGGAGGCTGCTGGGATGAAATCTTTCAGAAGCCTACAAAGCATTCTGGGATTTGCCGAATACAAGCCCCTCTTTCCAGTGAAGGAAGTTTTAAGAACACCCATCCATTCTGTGGATATAACACTTTTCCGCGGGACACTTGAAGTAACCATGACTGTGAAGGTTATGGCTTACTTCCCTGTTCCCACTTTCTTTTCCCCATGCTTTCTCTTGGCCCTAAAGTCTATGTACAATGTGACTGGTTGATCCCAAAGTCCCATGTGTTTTTTGGAGCCAGTGAGTAAAAAGATAGGGCCGCTCTATCACCGAGGAGAGGGGAAATGAGCAGTGAAAAACAGGGAGTGGTAGAGAGCTGGAAGCTTGAGCACAGTGTTAAGAGGATAAGGTCAAAAGATGGCGGGATTATGTGTCACAGTGGTCTGTCTGTCCATCCATTAGATCCAAATACAACGCCCAGGACAAACAGTTAGGAATAGCTTTAGGAGACCAATCAGAGGAGGGTGATGCGTCCTTCAAAATGGCGTGGCTGTCCATACATGTCCAGTCCAGCCGTTACTTACATCCTCTCCAATGTCTATGGTCGCTATTCCAGGACCTGGACTAAAGGTGTTAAGAGATCTACACCACGGCAGTATTTACGTGTCTAGTGTTTTCTTTTTTCGTCTTTCCTTTTTCCCGACCTAGTAATTGACCTTAGTGACTGCTCGTTCGCGGCCCCCGCCCTCCACCAGCTGGTTGACGGAGCGCTTGCGGTTCCGCTTGAATTTGTTCAGGTCCTTGTCGAAGACCTCACCGGAGCGCAGTGCCGACACCAGGTCGTCAAACTCCCCGCCGACCTCGTCTGAAGCGCCGCTCTTCTTGGCCCGACGCTCCCGCTCCCTCTGCTCCTTGAGCTGAAAATGGAAACCGGAAGTTAGACACATTATTTTTGTTTTGTATATTGGTGTCTCAGGGTTTATTCTCTGAATGTGCGTCTCACCATGGCCTCCATTCGTGCCCTCCTCTCCTCCTCATCTTTACGGCGCTGCATGTTCTCCAGGTCCTGCCGTGCCTCGCTGAACGACTGTAAGAAGGTGTCAAAGATCCCGAAGAACTCATCGGGCTGCATCCTCCCTTCTTCCTCCCCAAAGTGCTTCAGAGATTTGGTAAACTGCACAGAGACATTTATTGTATTTTTACAATTTGTTTAGAAGTGATTGAACATTTGGCCAATAGAGTGGTGCAGTAATGAGTCCTGAAACCCAGAAAATATTTAGCATGTTACCGCTTCCGGTTCTCTGGTATCAGAGTCAATCATTTGTTGACATGTTTGTGGTTAGAAGCCTGAAATAAGGTCTGTGGTTAACAAAAGCTTACGAGATGTTCACGTTTCGTTCAACAACATGAAATACGTCAGTGAATAGTCCACTTGTAAATATCCAAAGCCTTTATGTGTCATATAAAAACGACGGTTGCTAACAAGTGACTAAATGAGAATACTCGAGGTCAACACGCCAACACGGATCGGCCTTTAGCTTAGCGGTGGTGATGCGCAACTATGCAACGGTTTTGTAGTTCATTTATAGCCTGTTAGCTTTTAAATTCTGCCGTTTGCATTTATGCTTAAAACATGGACAGCCACGTGGAGATTATCCTGCTGAACAAAATGTGTTAGGTATCATAAACGTGTGTTGTCAACATAGCCTATTTTTAAACAATATATCAAAATCCAATGGGGAAATTCTGTTGCTTTTTATTAAGGGAGCCCTTGCGAAGCTAACTTGCAGGTCGGCCAACAAAATAAGTCATCACTGCACCAACTCAAACATATCCAGGGTCTGTTGAACTGGTTTTGTAGTACAGGGCACTGGTGGCTGCATAGCAGCGCTAATGTCAAAGACACAAACATTATACATTATATTTGAATTTTACCAGGATGCAGTGACAAAAATATTTGGGAAGGCTTCGCCTTCCCTCGCCTACAGTACCCGCCGCCCCTGACCAGGACCATGCCTGCAGCCAAACCTACTTGACCTTCCTACACACACGCTTTGTACTGTGGTATACAGCAGGAAACACAGCAAGATCCGGGCGATATCCTCCAACTTTAAACTATACTAAACTATTGATTGGTGCAGCTTGGAAGTTTAGATTTCTTTGTATTCAAACTTTTCTAAAATGTTAAGCAGAAATGCAAATGTGTATCTTTTGCCAACTTTTGGTGAATACGGGAGAAATCTACAAACGGAAAATAATGTATTTTCCGGATTTCCCCCAATCTGATGAAGACATTTTGGATGCAAAATATCCCAGACTTTTCAAATCAACCAATGCATGAAATGTTTTTGCATGTGTTGTCTTGCTTTAATTGCGACAACATATTGTTTTGGTTAGCGAGCAGAAGTCCCTACTGCACAGTTCTATTCTTTATGAACGTTACAGTAAAGTGTTTACAGCACACTGTGTGTGGTTCTAGTGTTGTGATAAAAAGGAGTTGGGGTTTAAACTTTTCAGAGGATGCACACAAATATCCTGTCATTATGGGCTGTTCACCATGGCAACCCCCACCATCATCCCTTCTGTAATTATGTGTCTGGTCATATACACACACACACACACACACACACACACACACACACACACACACACACACACACACACACACACACACACACACACACACACACACACCACACACACACACACACACACACACACACACACACACACACACACACACCACACACACACACACACACACACACACAGCACACACACACACACACACACACACACACCACACACACACCACACACACCACACACACACACACACACACACACACACACACCACACCACACACACACACACACACACACACACACACACACACACACACCACACACACACACACACTACCACACACACACACACACACACACACACACACACACACACACACACACACACACACACACACACACACACACACACACACAACACACACACACCACACACAACACACACACACACACACACACACACACACACACACACACACAGTGAGGATAATTATGTTTGGCTTCTTCATAGAGGATTTAACACTTCCCTGCTGTTTGTGATAACATGTGTATTTGTATCAGTGGATGTTCATTGAACACCTTGTTGAGCATTTAGATTCAAAGTTGTTAAAAATCCACATACTGGCTCTGGTTATCACATCATTGATTTGTTATCACTTTAAAAAATGTTGTCAACCTCTGCTTAAATTCAGCCAATGATATGGTGGTATTGTGACTGCTCTGCATGTCATCTTGCTATAGAAATGGTTAATCTGCTGTAAGCTTGCTAGCTAATGTAGCTAACATAGTGATTTCAAATATACTGACAAAACACTTACGATTATGAAACTTTGCCAACAGTGACATTTCGGTTGTGTTTTGTGCTTCGTGCAGCGTTTTCTTTAGCAGAATTTTGTATTGGCAGCGTTTTGTTTATGCAGTGCATTTAGTAAACGCTGAGCATGTTTCGTCAAGATGGTGAACTTTTTCTAAATGCTGCGCATTAGTTCAAGAAGATGTTTCTTAAGTTACATGTCCATTGGCACATTTGTGTTTTTTATATTCGCATTGTTTTTTAAACTGCAACGCGTTTCTCCTAATGTAGGTGCTTTGGGCCGTTGAAGTGCGTTTGCACCTGTTGGCCACCGTATGAACCTAATGAACTCAACTGCATCTATATACAAACTGAACTGAAAATCAAATGTCTTTATCCAGCACAAAGACCTTTTTTCTGGAGCTGGAAGACGGCGATGTCTGCCAGCGACGCTGAGCCAACTTATTAGGTAAAGGAAGAAAAATGTATCTGGCGATGGAGTAACAGTTAAAGTATTATGGATGAGCAGCTGCTGCTGCAAGTGGGATTTATTTAATTTGGAGATTGGTGCTGAGCTAGAAATAAAATATGAACAAATGATTGCCTATGTGCAGGGAATTCTGCAGAGGTTTTAGTAGATGCACCTGTGTAACAGATCTTCAACTGTGTAGAATAGCTTTCTTTGATCCATTCATTGCCATTAGCACGCCAAAACAAACCCCATTTGTTTGTCACAGGGTTGAAAACCTGATGCTAGTGGAGGTAAAATCAAAATACAGACTTTAAAATGTCACGGCAGTTTTGCATGTTTGGCCTATACAACTCCCATAGACTTCCACGAATCAAATCATTTCTCAACCGTTTTCAGTGTGACATCTCTAGTTTAAAATTAAGCTTAAAACTCTTTTTATGTATTGCTAGAAAATGTGGTGCCGATGTCTCGTCCTCCACACATCCATGTGATAAGCTTAGTGATCTTCTGCCTTTACATCTAGCCCCTTCTTCAGGTGACATCACTGCTATGTTATTAATAATCCAGCACACGTTCAAATCAGTCAGCAATTACAATTGTAAGCCTAAGCTGTTTTTCTTAGGCTGGATCTTTCATTGTCTGTGAACATGTCTCTGTGTGGGTGTTTTAAGGATAAACCCGAGCAATCTCTCAGGATAAGAGAAAACCCCCTGTCCCAATAACCCACATGACCTTGAACAGCTGTAATCCCTTGTAATGTATGTAGTAATGTCTGGCGAGGCACATTTGTTGCCATGGAGCTTTACTGTTTATTCATTCTCCTCTACTTTCTTGAGCCGCAACGCACACACACTTCCATATTTAACGGAGCATCAGAGAGCCTTGACAAGGTAATGAGACACACACACACACACACACACACACACACACACACACACACACACACACACACACACACACACACACACACACACACACACACACACACACACACACACACACACACACACACAACACACACACACACACACACACACACACACACACACACACACACACACACACACACACACACACACACACACACACACACACACACACACACACACACACACACACACACACACACACACACACACACACACACACACACACACACACACACACACACACACACACACACACACACACACACACACACACACACACACACACACACACACACACACACACACACACACACACACACACACCACACACACACACACACACACACACACACACACACACACACACACACACACACACACACACACACACACACACACACACACAGGTCCTTTTGTTTTACAGTAGTCAGCGGTGTCCTGCTCCTCCCGTTCCTTCCCCATGACGTTCAAACTTCCCCACTTTCCCTCCAATATTTTAACCGACCTCCTCTTTGAACAAATAATTAAGTTGAGGGGAGGCTCTGTTCAACCCCCTCGAGCCCTTCCTCCTGTCTTCATTCAAACTCTCATGAACCTCATAGCAAACAAGGTAAGAGGTTAAAATCTTCCAATGAGTCGGCACCTGGATGCTAACAGTACCTAAGGCCTTTTTTATTAAATAAAATGTTTAAATAGATGTTTTAAACACTGTATTTGGGGATTCCCACAGTCCCACTGATAGCTGTAGCTTACACCATTGAATACAAACATCAATGCATGAGCCAGTAGGGTTCAAAAGGCCATTTGTTGCACTAAGAAGGAGTGTAGAAGTAGAACGAAAAAAGATGGCGCTGCTCACGTCTGTGTACACTGGACACAGAGGGATGCAAAGAGGTGGGTTTCTCTCTCGAGTATCTTTGCTCACTCCTCCTCTGTCTGTCCACTACATAAAGGTTATGCAGTTACCTTGTCCTTGGCTTCGCTCAGCTGGTCCTCCAGTTCAGAAAAGCTGAAGCCAGCGACGGTGATGAAGTCTCCGATCACAGCCACAAACTTGTCCCCGCGTTCCCTCGTCCTGCTCTGCTGGTAGAGCAGCTCCTGCAGGGGAGAACAAGACAAGAGACGCGTGATTTAAAAAACCAACGATGGTCAAATCATGAGGCACAGTAATTGTGTGCTTTAAGGGAAAAGGAAGACGGGGACAGAAGAAAACGTCTTTTTCATAGGGGTCTCAAAACAAGAACAAGGACAGTTTGATGCCATCGTGAAGTAACGTGGGAGTTTACAGTAAGTTGCCGGTTAGGATTCCTTCATTGGTCATCGCTTAGGACTCTTTTACAAGGAGCTGGATTTTCCGCAGGTGTCCTCCTCTTCAAAACAAGCCCACCCGGTGATTAAAACCAGTTCTAACATTGAATAATGGAGTTTCACATCAAAAATCACTGTTTTTCCATCTCTGTGACGTGTGGTTCTTTGATGTGCCCTCCTGAGCGGGTGCATGTGTTGTACATCCGTGTTTCTGTGTATTGCTACAAATGTTCCGTTTCTTGTCGGTGTGTAAAGTTACCAGCACTTAAACACTTCACCCTGCTGTCCATCTCTGCCCTGCTCCAACACATAATTACAGACAGGAGTAGAACCAACGGGAGGGAACGTGACACAAACGCACAACAACTCACCGCCTCTAGAGCCTTCAGTCCACTTCTGATATTGTGAACCTCTTTTTCCAACTCCGACAAACTAGTCAAGGAGAAAAAAAACATGAAGGAAAATGTCTTGTACTGCACTCCCTGACTAGTTTTGGCGTGCAACTTGGGACCTTATTTACATTTTCAGTGACTTTTTCACAAGTAAAATTAGAAAAGACTTACATTTTTTAATTGAGTCTTCACTGTAATATTATATAACACATGCACGTAGGACTATCTCCCTTCCCCCACTGTAAATACTTGTGCACTCACTTGACTTTGGCAGCCTCGGGTACACTGCAGAGGTCGTTCTGGATGTGCAGCGTGTCATTGTAGTTCTTCTCCATGATCATGATCAGGTAGTGCAGCATGGTGATGTTCCTGTAGAGACAGAAGTGAAGACAAAAGGTTTTTAACCAAAGTAATCGAGGAAACACTTCTTCTTGTCGAGTTAAAGTATCACCTTTAATACTCTTATTTAACCCTTTGAATCCTTGGCTGTTTTAACACTTTGTTATTCATTTAAGTGGCATTCACTAGGATTGCGATATATTGAAATTTCCAGTGAAGTCGCTTGGATGAACTTAGATAAACCCACCTGTTGTACTTGTACCTTGGCCATGAAAATAAAAACAATTAGCAGCTTAAGAGTTTGATTTGTGCACCAGCACTTACAATGGTCTGTCTTTTTGGAGAGAATATGTCAGCACTTTTCTTGTTGCTCTGAGTTGGAATCTTTATCGTTTATTGCACTTATTTCAAGTCGCTTTGGATAAAAGCATCAGCTACATGAAATGGAATGTAATACCACTATCTGGGATGCAAATAGTTGAAATGCTATACAACGCTTTTACAAAGAAAAATGCAAATTGATATTTTCTTACTATATTGACCACATTGACCATATTGATGGGAGTTTTCTTTTTCGGGCCAGAGATTGCCTTTATTAGAGTTGAAAGGGGGAGATAGAGGGGAGGACATGAAATGTTTGGTGGGCTCAGGAGTCGAACCCTCCTACTTTGCTGCGGAGACTGCATACTGTATGCTGGATGGGACCTTAAAAGTATTGTCAAAAATGTACTTATATTTTCAGGAATGTTGGCCCTATGTACTACAGCTCCCCTAATGCTTTGGGTGATACAAACAGGAAATGTATGAAATTGCAGCTGAGTAACTGTGGTTTAGAGAAGCGGAGGCACTACAGGCAAACGCTTTTTTTTCATGCAATTTTGTAAAGGTATTTTTTAAATCAACAAAATGTTACCATTTGATAATGCATATTTTGCACATAAAAAGTTTTAAAAGTATACCAAAAGTAGAAGTATCATGCTATATAAGTTGCTAGCAGTCCCTGTTTTTCACATTTATAAAGGAACTCTGGAATTGAGAGGACATTTATCTCTCTATGGAAAAACGGAGTCACAACAGTCCCCCCCCCCGATCACCTGTCTATGCTGGACTTGGTGTCAGCGATCTTGTTGAGGCTGGAGACCTTGAAGCCGTAGGCGTTTCCTCTCTGGCCCTTGTTCATGAAGTTGCCGAAGGCCAGCACAACCTCCAGGATCTGAGTCAGCCTCTTGCTCCGCACCACCTCCTTGGATGCATTCAGGATCGCTGGAGGAAGATGGATAAAGAGAGAAGCAGCTGGAGAGATCATAGAGTCGGTGATTGATACGTGTGCACTTTGCTTAGTGCATCACTTATATTATAAGACTAGCCTTATTCCATTCTGTTTCTCTACTCAGCCCCCATGCACACGCATCTCATCTTTCCTTAATTTTTGTAATCCTTCATGATGATTGATCAATATTCCCCACAACAACTGGGCAGCCGAGTAGGGAAACCCATCAAGTCTCTCCATCCATCCATAAAACAGCAGAGGGGAAGGGGTTGTTCCTGTCCCCCCTGAGAACAGACTTGTCTGGCAGAGTGCAGGTGGTTCCCTCTCTCCGCAGAGGAAACCTCAGTGTGAATGTGAAAATCATTAACAGAGCCCACATTGTTATTGTTACAGTTCGCTCTGCAGTGATACAGCATGGGAATCGTTCTTCTGGCTCTGCTGACGGGGTTCTGCTGGCGGTCTTATGAAATGCTTCTATTGAACATGCTGGGTGGTCCAGGGAAATGTAGTCTCATCTAGACTATATGACAAAGTAACACCAATAATAAAAGGGGATAGAGGCTTTATTACGGGCATCGATGGACATTGTGGTCTGGGAACATTTGGATCCAATAACAGTGATTGTTAAGGCTTGACTCAATACTCAAAACTCACAGGTTGTTTCCTCTGCTCACACTTTCGTTTTCCAGTAATAGATGTCAAACAATAAATAAATGGATGGGCTATCTGACAAACAAGCCACAGTCAAGTGGCAACCTTCGGGTGTGAGCCTTGCTTTCTCTCTGGTGTCCAGCAGGGGGCGACCCTACTAGTTGCTTAAAGAAGTCAGATTTTATAGAAGGCTAGGAAAACAATTCTCAACATTTTCCGAATAGGTTTAATCCATAGTCTTTTTTTCAATGTTGTAAATGGTGGTACCATTAAGAGTAAAATAGACGATTAATGGGGGTATGCTTCGGGGCGTTGCCATCTTGTGATTGACCGATCGCTAGAACACTGTTGTGTGGTTTGAATGTTTTCTGTGTTAAAACTTGAACTCCTTTACAATTGGTTTTCAGTTCATGAAGGTTAATCGTAAAGTTCACCAGAGTCCGTTGTACTGGTCACTTCTGGTTCCAAAACAACAAAACAGTGCCTCTCAAAATGCCAAAATCAAAATCATTAAAACCGCAGCCTAACAACCAACGGGCGATGTTGCGGTGAGTCAATTCACTTCTTTAATAAAGTCTATGTTTAGCGCTGCAAATAAGACACTGCTGGAAAATATAATGTGATGGGTGAGAGTAGGAAAAGGGCATTAAGGCCAGCAGAATGGTGTTTTTCAATGATCTCTTGCTTAAACAGTCCTTAGGACAGCTCAGTAGTGACACACCCATGAGCACACAAGTCTATAGACCTCATTGGATGCCTTTTTCCTGGGTCTTTGAAGTGTTTATGAAAGGCTTTCCCATCGCAACATGGGCCAGCTTTCCAAAACAGCCTCCTTGGTAACCTGGAAGCTGGCTGGAGGGGAAAAACTACCCTGGGCCAATGCACAATTGGCCAACCGCTCTCACCATGCATACACATGTGCACACTTAGTACAGAGAAAGATTTTCTCATGTCATGATGAATAGCATTAGTTCAAAGTGATCAAAGATGCTGACATTTTCAGTGTATGTTTTTGCTTCTAGACGTGTACAATCATGTGTATGTGGCACGCCCTCAAAGCATGTTCTGTACAATTATTATAGCTTGCTCCATTTCTGTTTAGGGTGAGGGTTGTTTAGTAGCTTTGTTCTTGGACAGTGACTTGAGACAAAAATGTACTAACCCATTAGCTCCCAAATACTATGTTCTGATTGGTCTGAAGTCTTGAACTCTGGTAAGGACAATCCTTTGGGCAAGTACGTATCTAACGGTAGAGCTCAGTGGCGTCGCCTGGCCTGGGCATCCGGGGCTTTAGCCCCGAATGTTTTTTCTGTAGCCCCGGACAATTCTCCCTCAATAATATAATACATTAACCGTGCTTTACGTGAACCTCATCATGACACAAGAGAGGACGGCAGGACTGTAATTTCCCGAGTTCAGTGAATGCAACAGAGGCATGACACCAGACCAATCAGAGAGTTGCATGGAAATAAACGTGTGCTTGTGTCATTCAAGCTCGGCTCTGTGTGTGTGTGGCAATAGCGCATTTAGAGGGAGAGAGAGAGAGAGAGAGAGAGAGAGAGAGAGAGAGAGAGAGAGAGAGAGAGAGAGAGAGAGAGAGAGAGAGAGAGGGACCGGTGCCAGCAGGGACCGTGTTGTTAGCATCTGGTTAGCTAGCTGATAAACGGACATAAGGAGCTGTTTGTTCCACAAGAAGCTGGAGGAGAGTCCTCTCCATTCAGACTGAGAGACTCAGGTGAGCTAAAGGACTCTCTGAGTGTTTAGATACTTAACTTTAGTCTAAGTTATCTCAGTGGGTCTCAAACGGTTTGGTCACAAATTATTCAAAAGATTATTTCCGCGGCATATGATCATTATAGTTATAAAAAAAATAAAGCGAATAAAGGAAAAACAGTTATGAAATACTATATGGCAGTAAAACAAGAATAGAGTTTAAAAGGGGAGTGATTAGTAAAATATCCTTAAAGAAAAAGTAAATCTGTTTACAGTTCTGTTTCAAATGGGTGTTGAGACATGTATCCATAGATCTCTTAATGTTGCTCTCAAAGTGCACCAGATTGATGCTTTTAACTTCAATATATTCCCTAGAGGAGGTTAGGTCTCCCCCCCACTCATAAAAAATAGCACTTTACCCCTGCCTATATGCCGTGAGCTGATGATCGAGCCTTCATTGTAACAGTCGCGGGTATACTGTGTGTGTGCGTGTGGGGAGTGTTGCAGTAGAATATTCCACTGTAGCGCCGCCGCCACTGTGGGCTAAGCCCCGAATGTTTTCAGGTCCAGGCGACGCCCCTGGTAGAGCTTATGTTTCTCATACTGCCTGTGCTGCAGCCCCTCTTTTCACCCTCCGTCTGAAACCAGAGCCAAGTCTGCTCTGATTGGTTAGCTGGCTGGCTCTGTTTTGATTGGTCAATCGCTTAAGAGATTAACCGCCCCTTAGCCGATCATGTACATATATAACACACTACAGGAAAGGGACAACCCCAAAATGCAAAAAAGTGCCTCTTTAAGTGGGTGTTTTCAGTGGCGTGGCATTTATTAGTTTGTGTACAACAACACAGCTCTGTGGCAGGGATATACAGTATAAGATGTATGCTTTAGCAGAAAATAGATATTATGATTGATTTATTTGTTCAAATGTTAACAATATAGAATATTGCCGCCATTATCCTCTATATAATCACTTAAGAGTTAAGCCTTTTAGTGTCCTAGGAGGTGTTTGTCCTTACCTTCAACCTTAGGCTTGGTTTCGCCTAGACGCTCTGCAAACTTCTTCTTAAAGAACAGAGCCTGCAGTCTCTGCTGGTAGTGGTCAATTCTGATGAAGGGAAAAAAGGGGAGTGTAAGTTCAAAGCTTGAAGTCACCCAATCGTGCAAAACTCCCCCTCTCAGTTTTCACAGGCCTTTTATCGTCAAACAGGCTCCCATCAAATTGGGGAGTTGACAAATGGCTTTGTTAAACCTGCCCAAAAGTTCACAGAGGCAGAGAATGGGAATTTCAAGGACGGATGAGGGATATTAAATGGCAACAAAAAAAAGAAATAACTAAATCCCAGATGTATTCCTGGGACCAAAGGAGATGTGGTCAAAGGGGAAGAAAGTGGACAGGGTAATATTTCACGGAAGGAAATGAAAAGGTTTAATTATCTAAAGAAAATGGACCAGATTCGGAGAAAGGAAGAAATGCGCTTATTTAAACATTCTCCACTGTCTGATGTGATGGGAGTCCTCAGAGGGCCGTCGTGGCTTCTTTTCACAGCTAAATGATGAATTGTTCAAAGTTAGAGGCTTGTTTTTCATCCCAGCCCCCCCACGTTGCTTTTGAACAGACATCATACTCTGCAGGATTTTAGGATCTATTTGTGGTAACTGGCTTATGTCTTGATCCTGCACAAAATCTGCATGTTGTTCACTTTGGAAATGCTCCATTTCAAATGCTGACAATAGACAGACCTATTGTGTTTTATAACAGAGACACTGACCTTTGTGACACAGATGTTCATCACCATATCTTAACGTTACAAATGAATAGTATTATTTTATAATAATGTAGACCTGTGTACCTGCTCATTTCAAAGAGGAAGCGATCAGCCCTTGCCATGCGCTCCAGCTCGTGTTTGTGCTCCTCCAAGAGATCGATGTCACTCTTCTCCGGGACAAACTTCAGCAGCTGCAAGGATGCAAAGTCAGAGTTTATCCAGATGCTAAGGCTGTGGAGCATACTTCATGCATAGTATCTAAAGATTGTTCAGGATTTCAGGATTCCAACCCCCGGTCCTCTGCTTAGGGACCGAGAGCCCAGTACATTGGCCACCAGCTTAACCAATTCAACAATACGGCGGCCCCTATTAGCTCGTTTCTTTCCGTTGATTAGCTATATACATTATGCTGTAATATGTGTAAATCATTCCAAAACTTTATCAGTAAAAATTAAAAGGCTGGAATAAATTGAAAAGATCTCGGCCCTTTAAAAAAATATCAGGATGTTTCTTTTTTTTTTAAATATATGAAATCTATAACTTTGTCTTCAATGAGTTCTGATCAAGCAGAGAACATCAAACCACTTAAACAAATACATGTCTACCCATAAGAGACTTGATTAGCCCCTTTTTTGATATTTACATCATCCCCCACCCTCACCTGCTCCAGCATATCTTTGGACAGCTCTTCCCTCTCGTCCATCTCCAGGATCGCCCTCTTGATCTCTTCATTGCTCATTTTTAACCTGCAAGGGAGAAGCAAATTGGAAGGGGTTGTAATTAGATTACATTAAATGTAATTAATTGGCACATTACAAACAGTGTAGAGAAAACTGTAACTAATACTCTGATCTGGACCCTAGTCAACTCCCGGGAGCAATGCCAGCTGTTTTCAGTGCATGTTAAGTGTGCTGGGTTGCGTTAGGATCAATAACAGCATTGTTAGTCTGTGCGTCAAAGCCTTATTGACCAGCTGCTGACCCCATTTGGATCTAGTTCGTACCCGAGGGTAATTTTCTATTGACACGAGAGTGGGTTTAGGGACAGTGCTGCAGCATGTCAGATGGAGAAGGCTCTCAGGAACCCTCTTTATCGATCTGTAAAGGGAGGGGGGGTTTGGTTCAAATTTGTGAAAGGGCTTTGGATCATTGCCATAAGAAGACACACAAATGGTAACCATACTGTTGGGTGGATTTTAAATGATGTCAATTGATTACAGTTTACACAAAGTAAGCCTTAAAGCCTCTTGGGAGGAGCAGGGTCATTTGCATTATTTCATATGGCTTAAAAGGGACTGTTCAACCCAAACTCAAACATATATGTATATTATTAGTTATTCATTAATCCAGATTGTTTTGGTGTGTTGGAGATATCGGCCATTATAATGGAATTAGATTTAAAAAAACACAATTAAAAATGTCTTTGAAAAATATAATGACCTGGTTACTGAAGACCATCCCCAAAATTAGCTGTGAGCAGTTTCATGTAGGAACTATTTTCTTTCTACCCAGCTACACCCGCAAATCATATGACCGTGCAAAAGGAAGCATCTACTTACGAACAAGAGGCTTTCTGAACTGTTTAACTAAACAGCTCAGCAGATAAGGACACAATTCATGTTTTCCTCAAGTTTTTCATACACATTAAAAAGTACAGTTGTATATTCAACTTTCACAACTTACACTGCACATTGATACGGTTGGTGAGTGTAAGAAAATAGTTCCTACATGGAACTGTTCACAAGTCTGTGTCATGATTTCTGGAAAACAACATTTCTTTTGAGTTTTTCAAATGAATTAAAAAAAATGCAAATGACTAGTGCCATCTAGTTCCATCATATTGGAGACAAGGCAGACCGAAATATCCTTAAATAAAATGTACAAATACCACTTAGAAAATAAGAAGAAAAATGGTATGTTGGGGGTAAATTGTCCCTTTATTGGGGAGACTAATAGCACTTCAATGTCTAAAAATAGACAAAAACCTCATAATCTAAACACTCCAGGGACACATCCTGGATAATGCTTTCTGTCTGTCATATGACTAAGCTTGCTCTTACCATTGGTTATTCAATTACACGGACAGATGTCCTCGTGTGTCCATTAAAAACACATTTCCTGTAGCAGACACAAGAAGCACCTGCCTCAAGCATCTTACCCTGAGTAACATCTCTAACCCCTGACCCAAAGTGTTTCCTGTTTCAGTGCTCAGGGCATCTCTTCACAATTGAATCTAAGATAAAAACTAGAAGATTACTGATAGTACTGTACAACAAAACATGATTGATGATTCTTGCTGGAACACGTACTTTGAAAGAAGAATGACACAATTCTGTGCACGTCGGCCATCGATGACTGACAGCTCCTTGACCTTCCGCGTGCTGACGTATATGTCATCCATGGAGCCCGTCTCTTTCTGCAGAATGAGAAAGACAGAGATCTAGATTACATTTGCAACATGGTTCCATCTATAAGAGAGCTAACATTGAAATGCAAAGCCTGCTCAGTGCTTCTTCTCACATCTGTTTGACATCCGTAACTTGTTGAGAATTGACATGAACTTTTGCAACATCAAGCACGTAGCATACTAACATGTTGCACTCCATCCAAATACTTTAAGAGGTCTCAGCCACTGACCCTGAATGCATAATGCACGTCTTATTATAAACCCTGAACTGAATTGTGGATGCTGTATGAAAACATGTTTTAAAAAAGATGTGGAATAATTCACATTATGTATGCCGTTTGCAAGAAAGAAATATAAATCAATTCCTGCGGGGGAAGATTTTATTTGGCGAGTCACCACAGCAAACACAATGCAGGCAGACCTATAAAACTCTCAAGGAACAGGAAAAACACTGTGCAAGACTTGGTTCAGGCCAGTCACACAAATGTAGTATTAACATTCCACAAGGAGAGGGAATACATGTCTGAGAATAACGGTCAGGGCTGCATGTAAAACACAACCTATTTCTGGTCTAAGCCAGCATACTGTTGCCAGAAAACGTTATTTTTGAGGTTAGCGGCTATGACGTATTTAAAACAGATGCAGCTTATAAAGAAAGTGCCGTTTTCCATGCCTGCGTTGACCCGCAGTGCCTGGCAACAGCTTGAGGTTGGCACTGGGTTAGGGGGACAACTCCCATTCACGGAGCCCGCCAAAACCCTCTCTGCCTACGCACTAAAGGCAGCTTTGCCAACTTGTTTCTAGACTGTGCACTCAACCCTATGTAACTGGAGAAAAGCCCCTTAATCTTTTATAGAAGTTATCAATTGATCAAATTGCAAACTGTTTTCTTTTGTTCTTGTGCCAAGACACATGAAGGTTGGACATGCAAGTGGCTGCATTTCAATTCAGATGTTTCCTGCTAAGTTAATGATGATGAATTATGAGAATTAAAGGAGACATTCTATGCACAGTTTCAGCTGCATAGAGAGATTTTGGGTTTCTACTAGAATATGTTTACATGCTTTAATGTTCAAAAAACACATTACGTGTATCATATGGTCTATCTAGATAAACCTGTATTACATTTCTGTCAGAAACGCTCAGTTTTAGCGCCTGTCTCTTTAAAAAGCCCAATCTGCTTTGTTTGCTAATTCTTTATGGTTCTACTGCATCACTGCTATTGGCGTCCCTTCACTGTCATTGCAGCTTATTTCTCTAATTCTGTGACATCATAACTGTACTGAAGTGCTGATGGCTCATTTAAAGTTTCTGGATACAGGAACGTTTTTCATGGATTGAACGTTTTAATAGTTTCACAGTATTTATATTGCAACTATACCTAGTTTGTAACAAAGAAACATGGCAGAGGAGAAGAAGATAGAGCATTGGAGGTAGGTAACCATGAAATAAAGATCCTGAAAAAGCTTTAACTCACCTGTTTGAAGGATTGGTTAGTGAGCAGCTCCTGCCCAGGCATTCGTAGAGTGCAGAGAGACAAACAAATTGAAAACACATGCAAAGATTAGCATTTCAAGCAGAAAAAAAGAGGTGACCATAGAGCAAGGAACTACAACTGTGCATACTACAAGCTGAAGCTGGGAAGCAATAATAATCTAATGTCCAACTCATCACAGGCTCATGAAAAAATATTGCAATTTTCTCTGCATAGGTGAACAGAAAAGCTTTTAAACTCTGTTCTATTTTGGTTTCAGTATTTTCAAAAGAGGTCACGACTCTGTTATAATGTATTCTTTTGATTGCATCTACATCTGTCTTGACAAGGAACATGAAAAATGAGTGTGGTAACTGAACCTACAGAAGGGGGAATGTAAACAAAAGTCCATTTTGAAAGAAAAACCAATGACAAGTTAAGAAAAGCAATTATGCGGTGAATAAACTTTGCAATATCGCAGTTGAATGGAATCGCACTCTTGCTAAATCGAGCAAGGTCGTCAAAGCCAGGCAGACCTTGGGTTTTTATGTGGCTATATCCTTAGAGATGGCCATTTAACCGCTGGCCCGTGCCAATAAAAGCCTGCTCTGTATAAATAAATACACACAGTAAATAAGCATCAGCAACAGCCCCAAATGAATTATTACTCTTTAATAAAAGCCTGAAAAGAGAAGTTGTGCTTTAAGCTGTCAGAAGGCTTTTAAGCATGGCAGTAAAATACCTTGTAAAGGAATTCAACAATAGTAATGCCTCTTCAGAGACTTTGCCTAGCATTACTCTTCCACTGATGTGAATATTTGAAAATCATTACGGCATATTAAAGTTCCACTTTGACGCAGTAAAACATATCAATTAATGCATATAACATTATCCCATGACAAGTGGTGTGTAATAACTTTGTAGCATTGAGGGAAGTAATTGCTATGTCCTGTATGGTGTCGCCCCGAAGGCACGCATACGGCAATTATCCTGTATTAGTAAGTCCCTGGTTGAACATGCTTTAGTCAATTGCCTCTTTATTTTAAGCCGTGTGCTTTATTAAAACGCTTCCTGTGTCGTGACTCCTCGTGACTTCCCTGGTGTTTCCTCAGTGTTGCCCTGTTCCATGAGCCCGTGATGACCCAGTCAATTCCCCATTTCTCACACTAATACACCGCAGATATCATGGCAAAGCTCGAGCTCAGAGGCGTTTCTACAATACAGCATTCAGTAGTGAACAGCTGTTCATGTTAGCCTGGAGCTGGACTCTTAGCACTCTCAAGAGACCTCTTACAACATCCCACCCTTCAACCCACCACACACACTTATACGCACACGCTAGAGAATCACGTCCAAGTCCAAATGCAGCAGTTATTAAAACAAGAGGCATAAAATGGATTTCTGGGTCTATATTTTCATCCTCGCCAAAACACACACTGTATCCCACTTGGTAGAAAATCCAAACCTGTTGTCTCTGATAGGCGGAAAACATCTTCTCGATGTCCTTGAGGTCAAGAATCTTGAAAGCTCTCAGGTCATCGATGTCATTCCAGATGGTGCCGTTGATCACATTCTGAAAAGGGTTAAAGGGCACAACGGGTTGATTAAAAAAAACTTCTACATAATTATATTATTTTTGGCTGTAAAAGAATCTTAATGCAACAGAAAAACATGGATTTTTCTGATGTAATGATCTCAGATTTTGGACAATGGTTGCTTTCATTAATAGGTTTGGTTGCAAATGTGATTTTTTTTGTTCTTTAAAATTGAATTAGAGTTTGGCAGAGCAGATCTTCTCACCTCTCCTAGTTTGGCCCAGTTGAAGGACTTCAGAGGATGAGAAGGCGTAGGGATGGACTTGGAGCGCATGTTGGAGTTGAATGAAGAGAGAATAGGAGGAGGCGGAGCTCCGAAAATGGGAGGGGCTCCTGGTGGAGGAGGCGGTGCTCCAGGTGGGGGAGGAGGCGGCGGAGGAGGCGGGCAGCTAAACGGCAGCGGAGGAGGAGGTGGTGGACAGCCACCCATCATAGGTGGTGGAGGTGGAGCCATGGGGCTGCCAGGGGGAGGAGGAGGAGGCGGGAAAGACACACCCATCCCCTATAGGTTGGGAGAGAGAAATAAAAGTTATACAATGTTTTGAATAACATTTCATTGCAGCAAAGATGCAATTTAAACACAAACTAGCTCAGCATATGTATTGGAAGCAGGGTTAAATAGCTAGCTTTCATGAAAAAAGAGGAAAAAACTGCTTTCTAATTCCCCAAAAACAGTCCAACTAAAATGATATCTTGTTAGCTAGCAAAGTAGCAAACAATACATCCAAAACACAATGACTCCTCAGAAAAGTCAGTTACTGGGCCCAGCCTTTTAAATGTAATTATCTTCTATGCATAAGATAAAATAAGCTAGTCTCAATTAGCTATCTTTATTTGTCTTGGTATCTTTGTCAATAACACATACAGTACATGTTCAAAGAGTAAATATGAAAGCTGTGGAGCGGCTGGAAGGCAACGTTGACCATTTCCTGCGTGTTTTTGCTAAGCTAAATGCACATTGAACAAATCTTATTAGGAACTGCAGTCAATCAAGCAGATATGATTTCTATCAATTTGTTGTGTTTTTGTATTTAACATTATTTACTGGGCTGTTGACAAAACAGAGAAATCTGTCCAAAATAAGATAAACACAATTAATTAATTAAAGAGCAGCATATCACCGATTCAGACAGGGTGATTTATGTTTTGTTGTAAGGTTGAATAAAAAGCAACACTGCTCACAGATATGTTATTGATGCGTGAGGACAGGTCATGGACTTGTTCCCTGGCTGAGCGAAGCTCCACTCCCTCACGCTGGAGTTTGTCCTTCATTTTGTTCAATGTCTTCATCATGTCATCCTTTTCCTGGGTCTTGGTTTCACACTCTCGCTCCTTCTTCTCTAGTTTACCTAGCAGCTCTAAATGATCTGAAATGACAGAATGGCAAAACAAAGCATGGTATATTACAAGATGCATTTTCCCTTTCAACCTGCAGAGTGCAGTGTGTCAAACAAGTCTTACCTTTCCTGAACTTCTCTGCCTGTTCTCGCCACTGTTTCACCTCATTCTCATTGACCAACCTGTGAAGCAGGCAGACACAAATGAGCACAGAAACAAAAACAGACATAAACTTGCACAAAACTCTCACATGTAGGGGTCAACAGCAGTACAACCAAGTCAAGGCAAATTCAATATTTGGGTTGGAAATCAACTGAAAATAAATCTTATCATCCAGATTCATTACCGGCATTGACTTGGTTCATGCGGTTTGCTCTTTTAAGCAGCGTAACACAACATTAGTGCTGAAATAAATCCTGCAGGAATGAAATCAATTATATTCAGTTATACAATTTGGCACTTGGTAAGCTTGGCTGGGTTACTTTGGTAAATGTGATCAGCTAATGTGTGGGCAGGGTCAGGGTATGAGTACAAAAATAAATAGAAACGTTAAAACTGAATGAAAAAAGAAAAGAAAAGATGATCATATGAAGTGTTTTGAAGAGTTAATTTAGCTAGAAAGATTTGAAAAGTGAAACCTTGAGCATCGGTGAAAGCCATGTCTAGAGTTGAGAGAATAGACATGTTTCAGTGGGATAGAGAGTATAAAAGTAACAAAGAGCATAAGAGAGGGTATAGCTGAACAAGTGCTAACGTACGACTGCCAACGAGGATAAAGTCAACTTGCAGTAACGATTCACCCTTAATTGCTTGCAATCAATTCACACAAGCAAATCCACAAGAGCATTTCAAAGCAAATTGGTCATGAATCAGATTTAGGTCCTGCAAATGATTGCGTTAGTGAACAGGACGGTCTGATTATAAAGTGAGGGCTGCTTTAATGACATCTAAAGCAACGCTCTATTGATCCAACTCGTTCAAACCGAGCACTTTCTTATTCACTGGTCAAATAAATACCTTTACATTGCTGTGGAAAAAATGTGATTGGTATAGGAGTGTTAATTTTGGGTGAGGCACACGTGTGAGTAGTCAGAGCCGTCGTCATGGTGACCGCAGATGATGGATGACTTTGTCTCCAAGTTGTTTTAACAGTTGTTTTAACATCCCCCTCCTCCGCACCACAAGACGTACAGAACATTTTCAACCTCCGGCACGCAGCCAAAGCAATGAGGAGATCTCAGTTTATGCAAATCCTTCCAGAATTTACTCTCAGAGAGTTTATGGAAACACAAAAATACTTTGGCAGTGATGTGAAAGCAAGGGATAGGCTTTGTCCGCCGTGATTGATCTGCAAAGGACAGTAATGGACGTCCGGGCTTTTTTTGATGCCGCGTCCAAATCCTGCTTTCTGTACGCTACTGGAAAGAATTACGCTCAAGTGAACTGATTGCACAAACAGTAGTGGCTGAATTAGTGAACAAAGTAGGAGCGAGCGGGGGCCAAGATTTACCACGCCACATGTTTTATGGAGCTTTCACCGCGGAGACTAAACATATTCATCACTGATTTGAAGCTTGCTTTAGAAATAACAAAAAAAGTGGATTGGAAGAAAGATGGTGAAAAAAAAGGACGTCTGATAGAAGAATTATGCGATAAACACACTAAATGTATTGTATGGATCCATCTTCTTACACTACCAACAGCACACCGTTGTCTTTGGCTGCTGAACACAAGTAAAGACTGGTTTTAAATTCCGTAAAAACAAGACCACAAAACCCTGAACATTTGAGTAAATCCCTCTGTTCGACAGTGTTATGAAATACAGAACACGTCTACTTGCGCTTGGTTTTCCCTTTATAAAAGATTCATTTCTCCTTTTTGTCATTACATGAAAGTGACCGCTTGGCCGCACCTAAACATGGCTGACTTGACCGGCCTGTCCGCTTAATGCGATTAGAGCAATTTTCCTTTTGATCTCCAGCTTCCGCTTTCATGCCAATTCATGCTTGGAGCGTGGCTTCCTCTGATTCTACCCAGGACCCCCTGCTGCAAGCTTCACCTCACCTTCCTGTGAAACCACATTCTCCACTGCCATCATAACATGTTTAAATATAGCCAGTGCAAGAGTGGTGTAACAGGTGTTATTACATTATGATTGAATATTGTTTTACTGTGAATGCTTCCTCCACTAAAGCTCTGACGCAGTGGTTATCTGCCCTCCAGCTGTGCCTCAAACAATCTGACATATAGCTGAAGTTGATATCAGACTTGTCTTTGATCTTGGTTGGAAGTGATGCATTAACCACGAGGATTTTCCAGAAATGAGGGTTTACAGCTTCGGAGAATAGGAAGCAGCTTTTAAAAGGCCTGAAACACTCATTGGAAGTAGAGTGCACTTACAGTAACTCTCTCTTATGACATTATGAATTACAGTTCCTAGGATGGTTGGCCTGGATCCCTTTGTACAATAGTATCCTATCCTAGTATACAGTTTGTAGGATATTATAGCAAATAATATCATTTATTTTAATGACAAAAACAAGACGATTACGAGACAACAGCAATGTCATTAAACACTAATTGTGACGAAAAAGACAATAATTAAATCTAGTTAAAAAATTCAAACGTTATCAGAATGTATCTTTTATTTCCCTTTCTCCATTCCTACTCTCTCTCAAACACATCTACTGTACGACAACTGTCAATTGGCTGAGGTTATTTGAGGATGATGAGATTCCACTTACATGCGAATGATGTTCTTAACACTGAAGTTTTCCAGAGGGGCGCTGTCTGGGTCCTGTCCCTTCTCGTCCTGCAAGACTATCTGCTGGAGGATCCTGTCTAAGAGCTGCCAGTGCTGCAGGCTGCCACCACCACGTTTATCTGGATGTGAAGTCGCACAAAGACATAGTAAGTTCATCCATATATTGGTCAGTTCAATATGTAAAGTTGGTCTATGACGTTTAGTACACTTTATCTGTTCATTATTGTTATGTTAGAAAAGCTTCCTGTCATGCATGTACTCACAGGGCATCTGGAGGCAGTGCTGGAGGATGGAGAGGAGGTTGGGGTAGGCGTCTGAGTGACTCAGCTTCTTCTTGATCAGCTCAAACATTGCACTGGCACTCTTAGTATCGACGTGGGACTATCAAATAAAGAACAGGTTTTGAATTACAAAATACTGTCTGACCATTCATTTGTTTGCCTTTGGATTATTTAAGCCATATGGCAGCCGAACCTTATAGCCAATTGAAGCCACATTAATAAACACAAATGACTGAAAAAGAAGAAAAAAATAGTTTTGTGTTAAAAAACACACAAGAGTAGGTTACTCACAGTATCAAATCTTTTGGCTAACTCCGAGTCATCTTCATTCCGCACCATCTCAAAGAAGTCCAAATGCCTGGGCAGGGAGAAATAATTGTCAGAGATTAGAGAAGTTACTGCCTCTTCACCGCAAATAATAACAAAGTCAATTTCTACAAAACAAAAGGGTGAAGCATTTATTTTGCTGAAGAGTAATATCATTTATTAGTTAATTGCTCATTAGGCTTCTTCCTCACCTATCCAGAGTGGAATTCTCATGCCCTCTGAGCTTGTCGATGACCGGCTGGATGCCCAACATCAGGAACTCGTACCTTAGGTGGAGGCGGAACTCAAGGTTGTCCTATAAATAAAAGAACAATCAACACAATGACATCAGAAAAATTGAAAACTTTTGAATTCTCAAATGGAGATTGGTTATTAGTTATCTAGCATGTGCCTAGTAATCACATTTACATTTCAAACAACATTTACTACTGAATAACCAGAGGGACATGTAGATTAATATGAATAAAAGACATGAAAAAAGGGGAAGGTGGATTTTTTAACCACAGAACTAGGTTAGCTGTATCTCCTGCGTTTCCAGTTTCTATGCTAGGCTAAGCTAACTTAAACTAAGCGGCTTCTCGCTGTAGCTTCATATTTACCAGGAAAACACAAGAGTGGTATTAATCTTCTTAGCTACTGTAACTCTCTGCCAGAAGGTCCATCAGTTTATTTTCAAAAATGTTGAACCTTGAAGTTCACATAAACATTTGAATTGCAAGCTAACAGAGGCTAACACTTTGGGTATAGGCTTGTCAAACCTAAGCAGGAATTCTTGATTTGTTAACATTTCAAGTAAAATAAAAACATATCCCACTACTTGTTCCCCTCACAAATGTGTTGAGTTCTTCTCTAAATACTGAAACTAAATTCAACTGAAGTTTTTTTCCCCTTTATTTACAGTAATAAGGTGTATCTAAAATGCCTATGGATGTGCTGACCTCCCCAGCTCCAGCGTTGAGCACAGCGTTGATGAAGGACATGATGGCAGTCTTTAAGTTGACCTCGTCTCTGTAGCGGCCTGTACTCTTGTCCAGCTCATTCAGCAGCGTCTACATGGGCAGGACAGATCGAACAGTTAGCCAGCAAGTTAGTTTGATCCAAAAATACATTTTCAACACTTAAATCATCAGATAGCAACTGAGTCAGACATTAAAGGAACATGTCGCTACAATCTTGATTTATCAAAACACAACATTAAAGAGAAACCTGATAACACACTACTTAACACCATGTTTTCCCTCTGAAACTCACACCGACATACTTTAGCATGTTAATCATAACTCAAAAGGTCTCAAAAGTTCGAAATCACTCAGCCCCTGTGGTGTTAGCTTAGCCTGAGGCGGCATGATTTAGCTCACACCCCGGGGGGACGTGTGAGATGTGGCTTGTTGACTCAGTCCTGCTAGTCACTTAAACACCACACAATCCACGACCTCCATAATTCTGGATGTCCTCACTTGCCTTTAATATGCCCACAGTGTTGATTTAACCTGAGGCTAACAGTCTGAGCTGCGGCAGCACGAGTCACCAACTAATCAAAATGACCACAGGGTGATTTATTTGAGCATTACTTTGAAATATTTGTCTGCAACTCCCCATTATGTCTGTCTCCCCCATGTCTACAGCAAAGGCCTTATACAGAAGGTATTTTTGACCAACATTTAGCACCCTCACCTGAAAGCGAGTCCTCTCTGCAGCATATTTCTGGTAGTGCGCCATGGCCTGTAGCACCTTCTTGTGTCCGTCAGGCACCAGGCACACCGCCCCAAGAATCTCCAGCACGGCCACCTTGGTCTTGATGTTCTCTGTCCGCAGGCTCTGGGAGATGGTGTTGATGCTCTGTGGGTGTGCCAGGACGTGCGCACGGCCCTGGGAGTTGTTCATCAGGGCCTTGATGCAGCCGATGACCGATGTGTGGACGCGGCTCTCCGACGTCTCGTAGTCCATGCTGCGCAGGAAGTTGAGCAGGCAGGTGAGGCCGTCGAGCTCGATGAAGCGCGTGACAAACCTGGAAGAGGTAAATAATTAGATTCAGAAGAAAGTATACATCCATGGACTTTCCATTAGTGTGGTGCGGCTTGTAGGGCTGTACCGAATATTTTGAAACTTCAGTCATCAAGTTGACATTTTATTTAGTTCTATTAATAACTTTGATAAACATTGCATGCAATACGCTCTCTTTTATCAAACGCACACAGACACACACATAGCAGCTCAACCATCTTTAGATTCTGATGTTTTATTTATTAGAAATACTGATAAAAAGATATGCTGCAGTGCCCTGGTTCTCATAAACCATGAAGTTCACGTATTGCCGTAGACCATTCCTCATTTATTTCTCTCTTTCTTTCTTTCTGTCATCTCGTCAAATATGCTTTATCAATATAATACTTTTTTTATCTGATAATCAGATATCTTTAAATTCCTCTTCACAATATCCCACGGCTTAAAGCCTTCAATTCACTATAGTCCAAAAATATAAGTTAATTTAAAAATGAATAGGGGTGTGAAAAAGCAAAGGTTTGGCTGTAATCGACTCAAACAGTTGATCATCAAAATGGTTAGAATTGGTTAATTATCTTAATATCCTGACTTTTAGTGAGTAGTAAAGGCCAAGATCCTAAAAACAGTTAGTACTCCACATAACGAGGACACTGACCTTTTTGTGTAAAATTGGCGGAATCCCCCTATTAAGTGCTACCAATCAAGAATTGCCTATGTCTTAGTGAAACTTCATCCAATCTCCTACTGACAACCCTAATTAGTTGAACTAATTAGAACTCAGCAAGTCATTACCCTCGCTGGATGAGAAGCAGACCTTTCTGAATGACAGGCAGGACGTGTAAACATTGAGCGAAGTCACGTCTAGTGAAAGCCACGGGCTCTATTGTAAATGACCTTCCCACTCACTAAGATTCCTGATAGGCCTCATAAATAATCAAACAAATGAGGGCTTGTATTAGGAGTAAAGAGGCAGAGGACGAATAGAGGAAAAGAGAAGAGGACAGTGAAGAAAAGAGGAGAGGGTCTGAGTTCAAATGTATTGCCCCTCATTGCAACAGATACATTGTTGTGATGTCAGAAGTTCCACTTGGCTCGAGCAGGCATGGAAAAAACAATGAAAAATGTAAATCATCCAATTATTATCCCTACACACGATCAGTCATAGATTTTCCAGCATACATAGGCACACACGCGCAGACTTCACCTGGCATGACCAGTACATCTTTCAAAGACACAATCCTGTGATCTCCAGCAGCCCCACAGTGTTAGATCAAGAGGTCATACATGCATGCACGCTTACAGCCGACCTTCCCCCACAATGTATTTGAATGGTAAAGACCGCGCACACAACAGACAGTGTGCTTCTTGCTTAAGCTGCCGTGTCGGCCATAGCTCCCCACCAAGGTGGCGAAAAAATCTATCGAGTACATTAGCTACAACTTGATTCAGATGAAGCACAGACACTGGAACTAGAGCAAGGCAGACCTGATCCAACTGTTTCAAGTCGCACGTCTTATATCAGCGGTTGTCCGCCTCAGAGAGAAAAAGGCTTCATTCCGGGAGAGAAATTAAGCTGAACATCCTTGTGATGTATGGAAAGCAGGAGGGTGAGCGATGTTGTTGTTGGAGGGAGGGTTCAAGAGGGTGGACGGGATTCAAGGCTTCGCTCGCTGCCTGCTTTACTTGGCTCTGCTGCCTAGCCAGAAGCTTGCCAGGCGCACGTGCACAAAAAGAATGGATGAACTGATCCTATGCACCAGTGCATTCACTTGAACAGAGAAAGGAGGATAAAATGTGATGGGTAGGGAAATAGGGGTAGAGTAGTGGTAGAAGAAAGAAATGATAAACACAACAGGAGTGTGTTAAAGTTTGACTTAGTTGTTTTTTACTCTCCTTGTGGTATTCCAGTTAAGTTTGAAACATTTATTTCAAGAAATACACCTTGTCTTGTATACATTGACTGGTCCATTTTCTGACCTGACGTGCCAGACGATACATTTCCACAGAAACATCATTGGAAACCGTTAGGAAAAGGACAGGAACTTTCAAAAATACTTTTCAGGTTATCCATAGAACCATCTGTTAATCTAACTATTGCCAAAGACAGTCAAGGAAAGCCTTCAGTGCAGTTTTTTGCTTTCCTTTCAATTAAGAAATATTCTGTGGTATTATAATTGGACAGGACTATGGATGGACGGACACAAACGTATTCAATGAACCCATGCCGATGGAATTCTTCTGCAATATGTGATCCTAGGATTCTTGTGAGATCTTGCAAGGTAAACCAATTGTAGCCAACCTTCGAAATCTTGGTGGAAGAGCCATATTTCCGTTGGATTCACACTACCAGATGGTGCGTTAGCTAGCAGAATATTCATCTGCTCTTGGCACCCATGGCATTCTGTTAAGATTTTACACTAAAATTAAAGCCTGGTTTCATGCCTTAGCCAACTGGTTAAGAAGCAGTTTACTTGTCATATTTGAGAATTCCTACCATATACAAACTAATGGTTCAATTTTAGATTAATGAATACAATGTGTTTAATAGGTTTTTAAGGATCTGTTGGAGGCCTGTTGCATACATGCTCAACATTTCACAAAAACACATGGCATAGCTTTCTTCTCCGCTCCGCATCTTTCATCTTCTCTCCAGCGATCACTAGAATCAATGGACCCCATCTCCCCTGACTTTGGAGCCGTTGACATTCATGCTGAGGCGAGTGGCATGCAGGCCTTTTTCCCTTTTTGTTTTGTTCTTGGAACCATCGCTGCATACTTGAAAAGCCGCTGGGTTTGCGTTCGAGACAGTGAGAGCTCGACAACTGCTGCATACAATATGAGCTCAGGCAGAGCTGAACAATACCAAGGTCGAGCTAACCACACATCAAGCTGTTCAGACAGACAATGGAAAGAAGCGAGGAATATAACTTGGCATGGGACAAGACATAACAAAAGTGACAGTGTGTTGAGGCCAAGGACGGTCAAAGGTAACGTGAGGTGCTGATTGAAATTGAAATAAAACCCAGAGGTAGCAAAACATTTGTACAGTATTTGCCAGTGTGGTTGGTTACCCTAAAAAATGGTCATGTTATTTTCATTGTTCTAAACAGCGTAAAACCCCTCAACCAAATGCCGACAATACTCTGAATGAGGAAGACAGTGCAGAACCAGATGCTCAAATTTAAATTCATTCCAACCGACCTGACTTTTTGAGGTTTTAGCTCCAGAGGCAAAAACATGCAGCCTTTTTTAACTGTGGGCGACCCGTGCGTGACACGTTGGTCGAGAGTTCAGTCTTGCCTCAAAGCCTAACCATACAAACTTATCAGAACGCTACACTCAAGCCACCATGTGCTCCCTGCCTCTCTTCCGCACTACATTTAATCACCCCGTTCGCACACACTTAACATCTCCATCAAACACCCACTCACCTACCCCAAGGCACACAAACACATGCACCTATGTCTTACGTTAAAAGAGTCAGAGTGTGAACAAGGGCCCCAGAGGTTCTTCAGAGGTGTGCTTTTAACTATTGGACCGAGGTGTCTGCAGCGTTGGAAGACAAGTCATATGATATCAGCACTGCTCTCCCTCAAATACATTTTACTCGATGTGAGGCCCAGCATATAAGCTGTGGTAAAAAAAACTAAGGGCAACACACATAAAAACTGACACACACACATGTAGAGATCACAATAAAACCACGAGCCAAGGTGCACATCTGTGATGTGTGTAGTATATCATGGCAGGAAGGGAATGGCTTTTATAGACTGGGTTTACTGTTAAACCAACAGGGAGAAGTTTGTGTGTGTGTTGCTGTTTTTTTAACACAGTTATACAATATGAAAATACAGTCTGCTGTGACTTATTTGTGAGCGTGTGACACTAAAGGCAAACAGTTGTCTCGTGGAGTGGTACATTTTGAGAGTTTTGGCTGCTTCCATAACATGTTTTCTTTCAGACTGGTGGAAATAGTTTGATTGTCTATTTGTGTCTTTATCCAATGCTCAGACTGCTGTTAGGTAATTGTCTGCGAATAGCACATATTTAATAATACAGCATAACATTTCAGACGACTTATAAGACAACACAATATTATCTTAGTACAAGTAATCAACTGGGGAAGTTTCATGGTGATATACTGTATGCAAGTTAAAAGTGTTACCCTATTCACCTGCTGTGTTATAGAACTGATTTAATTCACCACATGGCTGTCAGTAAGAACAGTAAACAACTCGCTCTCCTAACATCATCACTCTCCCTCTCTCCATTTGTTTATTGCCATTCCAACAAAAACGACCTGCTCTTAAAGCTTCATGCATCTACACACTGTATTTGTCTTTATCCCCCCCCCATTACATGCTAAGTTCCAAGGGAAGAGAAATCTGCTCTCTGAGAAAAGCAGCCCATCCAAGATGTTTTAAATGTGTGATACTGCGCTCCTCCTCTAATGTATTTGGGAAAAAAAGGTTCCAATTCTGTTAGGCAAAACCTTTGAGAGATCCGGCGGTAACATGTTTTAAAAGATAATATTTGCATGTGGGGGTAGCAAATGGTCCAATGAGCTATTGACACAGGAGCAGGGGGAACGCCTGCAGTCCACTCGAGTCAATATTCTTGCTGGATGACATTTGCAGAAACAATGTCCTGCGAAAGCCTTCTTGGGAAGCGCTGCGATGCTCTGCAGACGTGAGCCCCGGGACTGTGATACATTCTGGGCCAGAACGGCCTCAGTGACCTCCGGGAAAGCTTCATTTCCTGTCCTCTCAGAGTTATTTCACCAGGGAAATGACACGATGGTGAGATACAAGCATGTGCACACGGTATGCTCCTCGACACGCACGTAAACATCAGCGCAGATGATTTAATGAGTCAACAGTGCTTACTGTATGTAAGCACACTTGAATGTGTAGCTTAAGAACCACAAGGGAGGGTACATATTTAAATATCTGGAAGCTAAATTGACACCAGGCTGACTACATGGCTGTAGCAGTTCGTGTTTGCATGCTGGCCCTCATATGCCCACTTCAGCTTTATGTGAGTAAACACAGGTGATGGTTCAAGCTCCATTTGACAGATGGTAAACAAAGCAATAACAGCTGGCAGCGGAACCAGATAAGCTGTAAACTCACTAAGAGACAAACATAGCCAGGTTCCAAATGTCTCTGTTTATGGCTGTTTGTGATGAATCAAATGTATATTTGTAGATAATACATCTGGGCCATTGCATTGGTTGTGTGACATGTTTACATGCCTTAATGTTCAGAAAGCTTTTGATTTTTCTCATACTGACTGTGCTGCAGCACCTCTTCTCGCCCTCTGTCTGAAACCAGAGCCCAGTCTGCTCTGATTGGTTAGCTGGCCAGCTCTGTTGTGATTGGTCAACTGTTTAGAGATGTCCCGCCTCTTAGTATATCACGTACAATCTGTTGGAGTGCTAGCCAATAGAAGAGTGAATGTTACATAGAGACGTCACCATGTCGCGGAAGTAAACAAAGTAGTCCAATTCCAATAGAGGCATTTCAGGCAGGGGGGGGGGGGGGGGTGGAGTGTGTGGGAGACACATTTCTGAAACTTTGGGATTTTAGCCTTTGCAGACCATTTACATGCACAAAAACCTATATGACACACTACAGGAGAAGGAAAACTCAAAAAAGCATAAAAGGGCTTCTTTAACCAACATTGTTGTCATCCTGTCTACCTCCGTTCTCCTACATTACCCACAATGCTTAAGACATATTAAAGACATCAGTACTAATTCTGCTTCCAGTTGTTAGGTTTTAATTCAGTTGAAAAAGCAGGAATACAACACATTACTAAACTCTTAGTGGAATATTAATGTGTGCATTACTAGGGTCGGGAGGGTTACTTTAAAAATGTATCCTGTTACAATTAAATATACACTTACATTTTTTGAATAAGTAGTAATTTAATCATTTAACTTTGAAATAGATATTCTGAAGCTTTTCAATGCTGCTACCTTGAAATAACTATTATTGTCGGTGTCATTATCACATTCCATATTCATTACCGCTAGGGGAACATATCATCCAAACCTTGTCACCTCGTTTTTTCAATGGGGATGACAATCAGGCAGTGAGTGGGTGCTCTGCTGACAATGTGCTGTTTTGTGCGCTCTGCCTGGCACCCTGCATGCCCACCATGTGTTTGTGTCCTGTGGCCCTGCAGAGCGGGCTTAGGGCACAAGGGCACCTCTTCACAAGCAGACCCAGCTGCCTCTCTGAAATACCAGAGGGAGGGAGGGAGGGAGTATCGGGCACTCATCCAAACACACAAATCAACGCATAGACACCACCGTGTCTCAGTAACTACTGCCATAAAGGACAAAAGTACCGCACACACACTCTGTCAAGCAGAAAGTCCTCTTTCTTTTGTCACCAAGGAGAGGACATTTACATGCTGCCCTGGCTTTCCCTGAAAACCCATATACTGTGGGACACACCTGCTACCCACATCACTGAAAAACACATCTGCGTGCTAATGAGCAATGACTCACTCAGGGTACAGCCTGGGTGCAGGTGCATTACTGATCACAGCCACTTTTGATGAGGATAATAAAATACACTTGAATAAAGTAAAAAGAGTTAGTGATAAATAGGGAAACAGAGTGCAGGCTAAACACCTGCAAATTATCAAAATAGTAAAAAAAGAAAAGATGTATCACTGTTGACCTGAAATACCTTTTAGCATAACATTCAGCATGTATCTTTTGGATAATGTACCATCTTTACAGTTTGAACTGTCCAAACCACACAATACTGATACTGACTACGGGAGAACCATAACTCTTCAAGACAAAGTTCTAAGTGATGTTGCCTTTTCAAGCCTTTTGTGTATCAACTCTGGAAATCTACTGTGACATCAACTAGTGAGAAAAAAAAAATAGCTTTACCACTCTTAAGAGTTACTAATAAAGGAGTATTGTGATATGTTTGTGCATTTGTATGATTTAGTGCTAAAGCAGGTTATGACATAAATGACATGACAAGATTCCACTCATCGCATTATTTTTTCCTGACATGCAAATCTTCAAAAAGCCTGTTTAAATAGATACGTTGACCAGATATAAGTCCACGTTTGTTGTCCCAGGTTTACGTGATTCATTTTTTCCCTCATCTTATTACAACAACTCAAGCAAGTTGCTGGAATAAATGCACAAAACGTATGCCATGCATCTGGAATCTAGTGTCTTCTTACCAGCCGTGTTTCTAGTTATGGTGTTTTGGATACCCCTACATGCACCGAAACAAACACAACCAAGCGTACGCACACTTGGCCTTCAAACACACACATTTAACCCAGACATGACCCAGACACTGAGGCTGCCCCGGGTTTATGTCACTCTGCACATTAGGTCTGTCACTTGTGAAAACTCAACACCCCCGCTTTTGGTCCAGACCACTGCATCATGCAACTGGCACGGGCTGAGGGATGGACTTAAAGGAGCTGCTGACGGGGGGAGAGGAGGGCGGTTTGTATTAGAGGTCTGTCCAATGTCCTTGTTTTTTTTTTTGGTGACGAGTGAAGCCTAACAGCTGTGGATGCCCATGGCAGGAATAGAAACGATATCATTAATTGGGCGTATTTTAATTGGAAGATATTTAAAGGCCTTTTTTTTTTTTTAAATGTAACCCTGCCATGACAAGAGACAGACTTGGATGTAATACATGCGGCATAACCTCAACAAGTCCTATAGTAGGAATGCATGACTAAGGAGAAGTGAGCATTGCAGAGCTCTGTGGTGCCTGCAGCAGAGGAAAATGTCCTCTTACCTCATTGGCTGAGTCCGAAGTGCTGTTTTCAGATCTTCCACCACCTTGTTCCTCATTTCCATTTCCTCCTCGTCAAAGGCAAACAGGGTCTGCATCTGCAGAAAATTCGGAGAAATTAAATAAAAATAGAATTTAGTGAAACATAGAGCTGCAATGATAAGTCGATAAATGGATTTGTTGATTGTCAGAAAAACGTCTACTTTTGCAAATACAAAACTGTATATGTCTTGCAAAATTGTGTATTATATCTTATTAAACTGATTATCTTTAGGCTTTGGACTATGAAAACAAGGTATTTAAAGACATAACTTAGGATATTGGGAAACTGGGATGGACATTTTTCACTATTTTATGACATTTTATAAACCAAACTTTAAGAGTATTCGAGAAAATAATCGACTTATTGATCGATAATTATAATAAAGGTTAGTAGAAGCCTAAGTGAATACAAAGCTGATGGATATTGCTGTATTTTGGCTATCAAAGCAGGTGTAATTGGGCAAGCTACTGTACCTTCTCACTTTCATTCATTGTTTAGTCGACACCAGAAAGGTTTTCTTATTTTGGAAGCCATCTAACAATAGTACATATATAAAACATTGTTTTCAATTTGCATCACAGATAATTAGAGCCTCATTAGTAGCTCCCTCTTCCCATTTCGTTTCCCCTGTTTGAAGTTATATAAGGTGCCAAAATAATTCAGGCAGGCAATTAACTCAAATCAAGCTACAACAAATCTTTAAAAAAAGCACTTAGACCGGTGGTAGTGTTAATTCATTTCTGCATCACTTAAAGGCTCCCCGCAGCAACATCAAAGAGATGCTGTGCTCCCATTAGTCAGGGCCACAGCGCTTCTGTTTAGCCTCTGCAGGCTTTTTCCAAGGCAAGTCACTGCCAACTGCTAAGGTTCAAACAGTGTGCGTTTCAGTGGAGTAGGCTAGTCAAAAAGCTGACTATTAATTTGCCTTGAATAAATATTTGCTTGAATGTGACCCTGTTTTCCAGTCCTTAAAATATTTGTAAAAGAAAAAAAGGCATACAGGTCAGAATTCGGTGCAAATATTCCAAATCAAGATCGTACTTTTTGAGCCAGCGTTGCTAAGAGATGTTGGACCCCATCTTTGACTACCTCACAATAGCTCTGTTCTAAGTGTTTAATCTAGAAACAGTGCAGTCAAAACATCCATCGCGTCGACTTAGCCTCAAGTCCAGATGGCTCGCGGACCCTGTGCCAAGAAGCAAAGGCTCTGGCTCCTGTTTCTCTCAAGGAATATGTTCATAGTCAATGGGAAGTTGGACACGACAAGTGTTGGGGAGAGTCGATGTTTTGGTCGTGCTGCGAGCCAGCTCACCGTGTCAATGAGTCTCGCCAAATGGCTCCTTGATACATCTGCTATTTGTAAAGTCATTCCGAACTTTTGGCCAATGGGCACATGAGGATGCTATTACAGCCTGTTGGTAAACCAGCAGAAGGTACTTCCCTTAATCCGTATTATGGGAAGTGCCCCCCAGAGCCAGAACCATGCCTTCAAGCTGGTCATTGGTGCGTTGTTAACCCAGTGAGTGGTGAGTGCAGCTCATCAAAACCTTAATAAAGACCATGTGGGTCACTGATGCGCAAAGTAAAAAGTATTTATTGAAATAGTTAGAGGCACAAAACATAATTAAGCTGAAACATAGCAGTTACTATGTGGCTATAAACTAACAACTGAAATGGATAGGAATGATGTGATCGGAAACACGTGGCATTAACAGCTCTGTTTAGAGTTCAACTGAGTGCCAGGTAGATGGTAAGAAACCATGTTGTTAATGTCACAGCTAAGCAATGTAGCTTGTAAACTGGACGGAACTTCCCAAAACAGAAGCTTTGCTATTAAGCTCAAGTTTTACTAGAGCACTGACGAGAACAGTGAATAAAATCTTCAAAAAATAGATTTGACATCATTTAGAGAATGGTTGGGGAACTCAAAAACGTTTTCACAGTTTCTGAAACTTCAGAGATGGTTTTTGACTTACTTTATCAGAAAAAACAAATAAACATTTAAAGAGTCAGAACTGTGTTTTGTATTTTTTGTGAATAGTGATGTTAGATTTGTTGAGGTATGGTATAGATCATCCATCTTTGATCATTTCATGTTACCCTTTGTTACCCTCCGATGTGCATCGTTTAAAGGTTTTTAACTTATTTTGTAAAGAAAATTGAAATTGTCAGTTTACTTATCGGTATCAGCCAAAAAAAGCAGGTAACAAACATATTGTACGTTCTTATTGCACAGGTAAAGGTTGACTTTTAAATGTAGGCTACTTTAACAAATGTGTATCACGTTAAACAGGCTTCACTAAATAAACTGCTTAATTCAAATAAATGAAATCAGTTAACAGCTTGATTTAACACTTGAAAGCACTCTGATGCCAAGGCTACAGAAACCCTTGTCAGAGTCACAAAGACATTTGAATTATCACGCCAACGAACAACCTCAGGGCTCTGACTTTATGAATGAACATCAAGATGCTGGTTATATCTCTCAGGGCGGCAATGACAAAATGAGCTCATCCAATAACTCAGCTGCTGTGAAGGGGCCTTCCCTTGTGAGCGCGGGAAGGGGCCAAGACATGAAGTCATGGACGAGCAAATGTTGAAAATCGCTTTTGTCCCGATGCTGCCTGGTTCACGGTGCTGGAGAAAATGGATGATTGATGGTGGGAGTTAAAAATGAAGGAATAGGAGGGAAATGGTCGAGTAATAGTGAATAGGGGAGACTGTGGTCAAGTGATGTTTTACCAAGGGACTAATTGGCGGAAAATTGCAAAAATATCTTTCTGCCAAACCTGATTTAGATTTATTTTAATCTTCTTGATGCAAGAAAAAAACAATTGTTAAATAACTTTAAATTTGAATAGACTTGTGTCCTTTCCTTTTTTCTTTTTTTAAACCCGTTTTTTCCATCACTGAGACTTTCTAGAAAAGGCCTGGAGCAAGTGAACGCCAATATCTCATCTCATTGGCACAATGTTCCACTTGTTTTATTAAAAAAGTCAAGACTTTAATACACATGACGTACAGACTCAGGTTGTTTTGCACAGTAGGTACAGTAAAAAAGGAAAAGTCAGGCTGAAACATAACTCTAACAGCGTGTCTGACACATAATAGCACAGAGGCACCGCTGCAGCCCTGGTGGATTTTAAATTCCTGGCAACTCACAAATCAGCACTTTCTCTCGACTAAAATACTGTGCATGTCTGCGAGAGTGTGTGCGTGCCGTCTGAGCCTTCAAAAGAATGACAGCTAAATTGTTTCTCCAGACTTGAGCTCAGGTACCTACAGAAGTAGCTCGTTCTCGTCCCCGGTGTGGAAGCAGTAAACAAAAAGCTGTAAAGATAGCAACCCTTCACATGGGTTGTTGCTATAGGGTCTTTTTCGCCAGAAAAACAAACAACATGGTAATAAACAGATATTAAATGCCATTACTTTTGTTGGCCCTACATTTATATTGTAAGTTATGGTTAATCACTTTATCTGATTTATGGCTTGGAACCACTTGGCTAGATTTAGAAAAAAAATGGCTCTAGTCGGATGGTTGAAAAGTCCATTAAGACTTTCTCCACCAATGACTCTCTAAATGTCATGCTTACATGTCAACTCTGAAGAATGTCATGTTTTATGCTCTGCAAACATTAGGGAGCCAACTTGTCGTCCACATAAGGACTCCGGGTCAGAGGTCACTGTCCCAAACTGGTCAGTGGCCGAATGTACAATCAAATCATAATACTAACACGGTGGTATGTTTAAAATGACACTGTCTGGCAGAAGATGTCTTTTTGAAAGGATCACGCTGTTCCTACTGGCGGCCAAAGTTGCTAGAAAAAAATGAATATTGTGTGTGGCTCTGTGTTTGACAGTCGTTCCTGCTGACTGAACTGCTGAGTGTTTAAATGGCCCTTTGTCATCACAGTGTGTGTGTGTGAATGCCGGGGTCACAGCGCAGGAATGTGGCCATGTGAATATAACGAGCAGTCAGCAGGGACACGATAAAAATGAGCCAAGATTCTGAGAGGGGATGACAGAGTGAACAGTGACCTCTCATGAGTGGTGGTCAGATGCTCAGTAAGTGAATGATATAGTAATTATGAGAAGGCGAGACAGGCACTACACACAAACATTTAGTTTTTACAAGTTTAAGAGAGTGCTATTAAAGGGTAGGTAATTCACTTCAGAAACACTTTTTGTTATATTCCATGGAATGCTCTTAACATCCCAATAGCAATGAATACATTACATGCTTTGACAATAAATACATACAAAGCTGACTCATTTACATTTTTCTGCAGTTTCTATACATTGGTTTAAGTCTTACTTATCTAACAGAAAACAGTGTGTTTTGGTCAACAGTGCCAAATCCCCCTACCTTGTGAACCCTGTTGGGGTTCCACAAGGTTCCATTCTTGGACCGTTACTGTTTGCACTGTACATACATGACTTGCCTAATGTATGTCCTGAGTTGAATGTGCAAATGTATGTCGATGATGCGGTCATCTTTGTACACGGGAAAAACATGTTGTCTCTCAAAAGCTTTGGACAAGGTTCAACACTGGCTGAACAACATTTGCTTACAGTTAAACGTAAAAAAAACAGTATGCATGATGTTCAGTAAACGACCAGTCAAAATCGAAGGATCCAATGTGTTTTTAAACGGAGCAGAATTAGAACTAGTCCCCCACTTCAAGTATCTATATTGGACTCAAACTTGACTTTTAAGAAACATATTAAGAAAGTATCCAATACCGTTAAATTCAACTTGCAACATTTTAAACAAATTAGACCTTTCTTAACTGTCAATGCTGCAAAGTCATACCTCCACTGTATGATTCTATCCCACATTGAATACTGTTTTACAAACTGGTCGTTTGCTTGTGCCACAAACCTGAAACCCATAGAACAGCTGTACAAGAGAGCTATCAAGGTGTTTGACAGAAAGCCTTAATCATACCACCACTGCACCATCCTTGAGAAACACCATTTCTTGAGTTTTGACAATTTTAAGTCTTTTAAAAGTATGTGTTTTTTTTATAAATGTTTACATGGACTGGCCCCCCCTCCCTTAGGGGAATTCATCCACAAAAAACACACTGGACGCTGCACTAGGTCAGAAACCAGAGGAGACTGTGAAGTCCACCGTAGACAGACCACTTTTGGACAAAATGTCCTCTCCATTAAAGGCAGCTCTTTGTGGAATAGCCTCCCAACTGAGTTACGGGATTGTCCCACTTTGAACAGTTTTAAAGGACAACTTAAAGAATGGTTGAGAAACAACCAGACGTGCAATCACCGCTAAATGCACTTTAACACAGGGGCATCTCCTCTTGCACTTGATGTAGCTCTTTTATCTTCTCTTGCACTTTATATGTCGTTGCTGCTAGATTGTATTACCATGTGGTAAATACTTGTGTATGCTGCTCTTGCTCTTTTGCACTTTTTGCATATCATGTATTTTGTTTTTGCTATGTTTGTAAAATGTAAACTTCTTAAATGTTTTATGTGAGGGACTGCGGATGGAAACTAGCTCAAAGCTAAATCTGGCACTGTTACGCCATTTTTGATGTTTTAAGGGTTCATTACTGTGCATTGTCCCTGCCAAATAAACGATTAAATGAAATGACATAAAAAAATGTCATCTGTGGAAGCCGTGGCGCTGTAAAAAGCACGACCAATCATCTGAGCCGGCCCGGCTAAAATAACTGGATGGCCTACCTGCCTGTCAGCCTTCCATCTCGTGCACAAACGTATCTCATGCCCTCATTGGTCATGTGCGCGTTCATGTGTGTTGGAGGAGGGGCTCTGTCAGGAAGTCTGAAGGAAGGGGCAGATTTTTTCCGGTTGTGTACTTTCAAATTCTAGTGCACTCGAGCTGGTTTCTCCATTCTTCCCTACCCTACCTTTAAGGGGAACATAACATGTCTCCTTTCAGACTTGAGGACATTTTTTTTTTATTGGGTGTATCATTTCCTCATAAAAAAAAAGGTAAGCATAAGATGATGCCTAATTTGCATACTTATATATACACATTCAGAACAATTGTAATTAAAACACTTGCCTTAATGTAAGTAATCAACTGGGTTAGTTTCATGCTGATTTGTATTAGGTAATGCTACTAGTGTCTTGCAAGTGTCTGGAATTTTACAAATCTTTAAAGGTAATTTTCTCGAATTGTGATAAAAAAAAATATACAAAAAACATTGTCTCTGCTTAAAGGTTGGAAGCGATATGTAATATATTGGATTCAACTGGAGATTTTAGTCAAAGTGAACAGACTTACAGCAGCCATGGAGTTGATGCGGTCGATGTAGTAGTCAGGCCAGCTGGTCGCAAGCTTGTTGGGATCCTCTTGCTCCTGTGCATGGACACAAAGAAAGATGAAGTCAATTTAAAATAGCATAGCTCTGATTGTTTAATGGTTATTGCAGGTAAATCATAGAATATAAAATCCACTGTGACTTGAACATACACACAGATGCAAACATTAAGCAGATGTAATAATCGAAAAATGTGTTCCCGTCTCAGAAAATGTACATGAACTAAAGTAAAAACTCTTAAAGCACTGTAAACGCTCTGAACATTGAAATATTACACATCCTCTTTCAAGTTACCACATAACAACTTAACGCTCATAAACGCACCAAAGTTGGAGAACCACTTCCCAATTTAGGAACTTTGACTATACGAGGAGCACGTAAATGCACCATGGGCCTTAGAGAAGGTCCACGCTCTCAGAGTGTCATTATAGTTTATCAACTATTTCTCTAACTGTGGGAAACAGCCAACAATGAGTGCCATTGCAGAGGTCTATCCAGGAACACGGTGCTCAATGATTATGACGATGTCCCTGATATGTTCTTGAGCACCTGGGGTCCAAACTCCATCAACCGTCTGCTTTCATGTAGCACTGCCATCAGGTCAAAAGGCTCCATAGTTTCGACTCCTCCATGACAACATATGTAAAACTGAATTTACTGATTTCCATGACATTTGCCATGAAGATTGTTTCTACTCAGAAAATGAATCCTAAGGGTTATGCCGAGCCTTTGTCATCTCCACTAGAAGTACTATCAGTAAAAGTTCTAAGTCTTGTGCAATTATCAGTACTATGTCCATTTCTGAAAGACCTAAGGCATTGTACTGAACAGATCAGGGCTGCTAGTGAGGGGCTTTCTTGGTTCAAAACTACTCTCTGTACATTATTATTGCCTCCGCCAAGGGGGTTGTATTTTGGCTCCGCTTGTTGGGTTGTTTGTTTGTCTACGTTATTATGAAAAACGTTTGGCCCAATATACACAGAGGAATGGTGTAGCATTGTCCAAGGAACACCATTACATTTTGGAGCAGAATCTGAATCACGGTACATCTGATACACACACTATTTTTCACTTATGGAAACCGCCTTGACGGAGGTTTGCTCTCTCCGAGTGCCCTATAGTTTCATACTATTTCACTCTTCTAGTTTCCTTTTTCCCCTTTCTACCTTAGCTGCACACTTCAACATCCATGCAGACTAAATGGATGAGGCAGTCTAGCCCACAATAACTGGGTCACAAAATCTCAGAGTATTCACTTGTCTTAGCTTTTATTACAACATGACAGAGAGAAATAAGAGAGAAAGAAGAACTGCCTTGAGGAACGAAGTGCACTCCACAACAGTTTTCAAATCGCTCTGTCTGAGATCAATTTGTCCTGGCCAGTCGGAGGTAGCGTGATGCCATGAGCAACCAAGGCACAGGGGAATACAGAGACCATGTTCCTCGTTCACATCTGGTCTTGTTTAGCTCGGGGCTTAGAGCACTGGTGTAGCATTGTTGTTCTTCTTGTTACTGTGCACGTAAACAACAGCTGGAAAACATACATGGTATGCAACATTAATGCAAAATGTGATAGTTTTGTTAGATAATAGAGAAATACTTGCCAACATGTATAATACAACATAATAATAATATAAATGTTACTTGATCCACAAATTAAGAGGGGCATTTAAAAAATAAATGTGGCGTAAAAGCAGTGCACTGACCAACTTTTTGTAGTAATTCATTTATTGAGATCCCCAACATACAAAAGGATTATAATACCTACCCTAGCCTGTAGAAGCAGTTACAGTTAGATCAATTGAAATAACCCTACGAGAGACCATAATGCTTAGCATACAGATTGTTGAGATATTGTCAATGAGACTTTGTTGCAGCCATCAGGGGCCAACTAAGCTCTCTGATAGCTGAATCTCATCAAGTGCAACAACTTCATTAACTACAAGGACGTTCATGCTGCAGCAAGACCTCATCAAATCTCACTGGGCTCCTTCTCGGTATAGAAAATCAATATTTCCTGCCACCAAATCCCTTCCTTTCTGAAATGTAGCTGTAATACTTGCACTGCGGTACAACACAGCTTTAAGCTAATTTCATTTTCTGTTAATTAAGCCAGAAAAACTCCATTCTGGGACAGGCCTCAATCGATTGTCCCCGGAACATAACACCCTCTTTTTATGACCACAAACCCAATGAACTTCCAGTCTGGACATAAAAATGAGCTACAGAAACAGAACATCCACTGATTTGTGAGTCCTATACACTCAAGCAGCTCCACCAGAGACTTTTTTGGGTTGGAGTATAAAGTTGGTCGATGTGGATTCCAGCCCTGGTTAAGACCGCTGTTTCTAATCTACGGTACTCTGTGCCAGCATTTGAGCACGAGCTAAAGAGCTGGGCAAAAACAATAGAAGTCACTGTACTACTCGGCTTGTGTTTTCAAGCTGGCCGTCGTTTCCACTATACTTGCTGACACGCTTGGGACGGGATGCCAGACAGATCCTGACGCTGAGATTAACAACTTAACTGCCTCTCTCTGGCCCTTCAGCCCAATTACAGCGGCCGACACACCCTCAAAAACATCAGGTCGAGTCCAATGCAACATTTACTCTGGCAGTTTCACGAGCCAGAGTAAAGTACTGTAATTTTGTCTTGTTTTTGGATAAATGAAAAATGATGGCTACATGAGCTCTGTTATGGGGGTCCTGGTCTTATCAGTTCATACACTTCCTGAATATTTGCCCTTTTAATGGCATTTCTTAAACAGTGAAGTGAGCTTGGGTGCTTATTTTTGAATCACAGTTGATGAGTGGTATTAACATCTCTGGATAAGAAGCCAGACTCCAAATAAGTGGAGCCTTTTACAAATTGAAAGTGCTAACAGCAGGCTTTTTATATGAATAGAGAGAGTGTATTCACATGTGCATCATAGCATTCAGCATGTATTTACTGTATATGCATGCATACTGAGTATACTACTGAGATACCAGTCGCGTGCTGCGCTGCGACAGTTTAAGGTCAGCCCCGTCATTCCATTACAGCTATTACACACTTACACTGTAAATTCCTCACGTCTGGTGACATTAAATATGATTTACAATCCAGGTTGCAGCAAGCAAACGAGGACAGGAATCCCCAACAGTGTATCAGGTATATTTCTGTAAGGTGTTCCTCTTGTTACAACCATCTGTTGAGGGATATATTGTTTCTCCCAAAGAGCCAAATACTTGACTAAAGCCAGGGTTCAAGAATATTTCTCTGTGTGTTTGGCAGGCTATTGAGTTTGCAGAGGCACCTGTTGAAAGAGATTAAATTACTATTTCAGCTCCCCCGCTGTCATGCAACAAGCCGCCTTACAGATCTCAAACCTCCTCAAAAGGTTTGAATGACAATAACGATTGAGTTCACAGATTGTAATAAACCTATGCACATATACATTTCAAGTCAAGGTTTCAGAAACAACAGGAGGTAGAAAGTCAAAATACTCAAATGGCCAGTTAAATCCTTAGATGTGTCATGCGAGGTTTCTACTGTTTGCTTGACTCCTAATATATACAAATGTACAGTTCACCAGGAAACCAAAACTGCACATTTTTCTTTCTCGCCTGTAGTGCTACTTATCAATCTAGATTGTTTGGGTTTGGGCTACTAAGGGTTTGATTTATCATCCATTATTAATCTAGGAAAACAATTATTTCTACTGTATCATCGCGCAAAAGTTGGTTTATACACATGAACAAGCTGCTCTCATGATCCAGTTAATGTCTCCTCTCCATTTTAGCAAAGTCTTATGTCCAATAGCAGACATACACTTCCTACTTCCGAGGTGAAATGGTTGGCGATGTAGTTTGATAAAAAGAAAATAGTCCCTACATGAATCAGCTCAAAACAAAGGTCTGTTGAGCATTTTGGGTGACCTGTTCACGATTTCTTGAACGAGACATTGCTGTAGAGTTTTTAAATGTACTTTTTGGATCTTTGAGAACCACAAGCGAAGCACCATCTAGTTCCATTGGAGGGAAGGCAGACATCCCTACGGCCAATATTTTTAACACTGGGCAACTTACACCTAAATGATCTAGATAATAAAATAGGACAACAGGTACTGTAAGAGGAAAAATACATCTTGTTTGGATTTTAAAAGATGAGCAAGACAACAGAGATATTACAACTTTCTTGCTTTTCAGTCTGTGGGCTTTGGCAGCCAGCTTGGCCAAGTTACTTCTTTAAGCGTAGTCCAACTATTCTCTGCCAGAATCTATACATCGCCTCTCAGTGACATGCAAACATGTTTCCTTGAGTTCTTCAGTTTCTCTGGCAATTGAAGTGCTCCTTAGGCGCCTCAAACTTTGTTCCCATGTGCTCAGAGGGGCCCTGGGGGACCCTGGCTGCAATGTGGGCGCTCTAATAAGCTGTACGAAACCATGAGAGCATCGGTAAGATGCACAGAACTGAATTCAATACTGTATATTCACAAAGAACACTTCATAAATAAAGAAGGGACAGAAAAGTACTGCATTAAATACAAATGGGAAAAAAAGCCATTTACCAAATGTTAAATATTGTAGATCAGTTTTGGACCAAAGCAAAGACTCTTCTAGGCCATTTTCAGAAGCAAACAACAGATATAAATGAATAAATACTCTTTCAAAAAGACTCGGAATTATAGTATGTAAAACTTTAATGATCTCCTTGGCAACGTCAAATGAGCACAAGCTCGACAATGAGGTTAATGTGTCTATTTCACTGCACCAACATAATATTCCTTTTACATACACCAAATTATTTACATTGAAATCCCTGTATAGTTCATTACTGAGAGTAGCACAACTACAACAGCACGGTGTTTCAGCAAGACAATGGGATGCATTAGCTATCATCTATGTGTATATCTGTGTATATTTATGCTTTGCTGCACTTGATGCTGCAGCTGACACCACAATACGTTCCTGTCTGCGCAACCAGTGGGATAGTCCAACATTCCACAGAGCCAATGTCTCTGCAGGGAATATTTATCTATGGAAGCCGGGATATAGAGTCTCACCAAGAAAGGCAGGAAATGGACAGGATATTGAATTCTGGACGATTATGTAACGCCTGCCGTCTCTTACAGGTACACACGTTTTAGCACATGCTCAAGCAGAAATAGTTGCCTGGGGTCACATTAGTTTAAGGGATGGGGATGATAAGACATAAGCTGCTGCCAGGTTAGGAGAGGGTACAACGTGTGGATGCATATGGGACGATCAGGCGGCGCATGTTAAGCAAGGCATTCCACTCACAGAGATGAGGAGAACACGTGGTTGGACGATTTCGGACAGCAAAGATTATATTCAGAAAATCCTCTTTTTAGGGAAATTTAGGACAGTAGAAAATATTGTGTGTCAGTGCTTTGATAAAGGGCCATATTGTGTGACTGTTGGCTGAAAACACAGCGTGTGTGTCAGTGCTGCACTACTAATAGGAGTCAGGAGAGCGTGTTTGGCTCCCAGCACTGAATGATTTTTTAGGAACTATTAGATGATACATCGTGTTCTCGACCTGGAGGCTGCTGGACGCGAGTCAGGCTTGGAAAAACAAACAAACAAGTATATACACACACACACACACACACCCATCACAGACAGGAATGCAATTCACTCATGCAGAGATTTACTCACGCCAAGACTTTTTCATTGGGCACTAGACATGTATACAAGCCATCCCTTCATTCTCACGCTTACCGAGAATGATGTCCACTCTTTCTCACACGCACACATAGACACACAAACCCCCTGGCTGTGGCTGACTGGGTGGCTGAGATCAGAGGTGCAGATACGGTCAGATTATATAAAGCTTGAAGGCCTGGACAAGATGTTCGAGTTAGTCATGGTACACAGAGACCATATTTACGCTAATGCCCTTACTTCATTGCTGACTGGTATTAGCGAGAAGACTAGCGTATGTGACTATTCCTAAAGAGTTTTGATGTTGGAGAGGCTTATATGGTCTATAGATCTGGAATTTGAATGTTAATGTTGCATTCAACAATATATTTACAGTAACAGTGAATCAAATTATTTTTGTGTGATATGAAAAGGAACTCTTGCAGCAACAAACCCGCAGAGAATCCTCTGCTTAAGGCAGCCAGTGTTGAATATTTTTTTAAATCTTAACAGATGTTGAAGATATGACAGGCGTGGAATATGACATGTAACCATCATTTTCTGCTGTCCTAGAGGTTTCTCACAGTGTATTGGATTGTTAATATTGAATGCGTTTATTATTGTGATTTGGAATCAGTGAGGGATCTAAAAACACACTTTAAACATACAGTACGTCACACTCCAGCTAAATGTGTCTTTAGAACCATCAAGAGCAGAACAATGAGCTTGATTCTCATGCAGTGCATCCTGCATCATTTAGCAGGTAGCCTCTTTTTAGCCTCTTTAGTTTGTTGTTTTGGCACAGCATGAACATTAAATGCATGTCACTGATTATCAACCCTGTTTCGAGCAGCAGGTTCTTTTAGCACCTCCACGCCAATACAACCACTGCACGCTAGCTCCCCTGTGAGGAGATAGGAATTGTGTACCATTTTATTCCATTGGAACAGCTCGTAATGTGCCATTTTTTGCGATAGAACTTCTTTGCTGGTCGTGTCTCGAAGAGTAACCCCAGATTTGCGAAAGTCTCGATAAAGAATTATGGTTAGGCATTGACCTTGAATTGTTAAAAGTAAGGTTAGTAAAAGCCCTTCCAGCATCGAGTCTGGCAACAGTTTGAGAGGTTTACAAATCCAAGGTTCTCTTCTAGACTCGTTCTAAGATGGTGGTGTCTAGGAAAGTAACCCAAGATTTGTGAAACTCTCAACAGGGGATAGTGGTTGGGCATTGACCTTGAATGGTAAAGTAAGGCTTTTACCTCAATGTGAGGTATGGATCGGTGGTTGGGCATCAAGTCTGCCAACAGTCTTTTGAGAAGTTTTGCAAATTGAGGGTTTTCCTCCAGACACAACCATCTTTGCTTACACAAAGACACAGGGAAGCCATAGTGGGTCAAACCAACTAGACAGCAGTTCTAGTGAACACTCGGCATATAAAAGTCAATATCTGAATTTAAATATTAAGCTGGTTTTATTAGCCTGACCATTTACCTCCTCAGGTTCTGTGAAAACATAAGATTCATTAGATTTGGAATATGTGGTTTTGACCAGCCAGTAAACAAGTGGAACTGGCAAAGTCGCAGTGATTCACAATAAATGTGCAGTTTGTGTTGCAGGTGAACAAAGTGAGTTTGTCCCTCTGTCATGCCCTCAGTTGCTCCCTCCAAGTGTTATCTAACCACAACAACTGGAGCCGTCGTTTGGCTGGAGGAAACAAGGGGACCAGTGTTTGTCGCCGACAGGAGCGGCTGGGGTAAATTCTGCTGTCCTCTGCTCCCCATTCAAAATCACTGTCATGCTGTCATTTCCAGGCATACAGGGCACTTCTGTGTGGTGTGTGTGTGTGTGTGTGTGTGTGTGGGTTATGTCTTAAAAACCTGCGTCTTTTCCTACATTTATGTGGTTCTTCATGTCTGTGTGGGTGTGTGGCATGTAAGGACGGAATTCATGCACACACAGACAAGCAGGTTATTTTCCGATATCGCACGCCAGTTGTTTTTCCCCCTCATTCTCCATTACGGCGTCTCTATCCATGAATGAGGGGTTTGTTTGGTTTTCCTGCGGCCTTCCGCTGTGCACTGTTACCCGGGTTTTGCTCTCTGTTTCCTGGCCTGGACACGCGGCTGTTTTTTTTTTTTTTACCTTAGCCTCGGAGAGGAAATGATTTCTGACTGGGAGGGATGGGGCAGGAATGACAAACTAATATATCCTACCTCTGAAACCGGCTTAGGCGCGCACTGCAAACCTTTTTTGTTCCAATATGATGCTGCCAAATTCGGTTTCCACTAGCTTATACAGCAGTACAAAGAGTCTTCATAAACATCTGTGGTTGCTTCAGTACAATATTTAATAACTGATATAGGAGTATTATTGAACTGGCTCCTTTTATGTGGCTTCACGAATGCAAAAGCACCTTCTGCCAACAATTCATTCCCTCTACTACAGCACATCGCAAGTTATCATAATGTATTCAAAGAACGATTACATCCTCCTCTTGAATTATGTTGACCCGTATTGCATTTCCTTGTAAACTGGTGTGGCGCTCCAGCTTCCATCCTCGCCTTGACATCCCTCTAAACACACCACAATTCCACCGCTCTTCTTTTTCCTCGTAACTCAATGCTGGCCTCAATACAAGTACACACTTTTACACATGCAGGTGCACACACACACTCACGCGTGCACACACACACACACACACAAAGCGGTGTGTGTTTACTCCTTTTTAAAAAGGTTGTCAGAGCCTATCATCTCAGCGAAGCCGAGCCTGCCTGCCATGGAAAGAGAAAGGAGGGGTCCGATCCTCGTCCCTGCTTCCAACAGAAAAACCTCATCCAAAAAACAAATTAGCAAAGAGACACAAGGGAGGGTTTATTGCTATTTATTCAATTTGCTATTGAGTGAGAGAGGGGGGCTCAATTCCCCTTTTCCTCCTAGCACAATGTCATATCCTGTTGGATTTTTGACCACAAAGTGAGACCAGAGTTGTTGTGGAGAGACACGCTGAAGGGTATTAAGAGAACGAGAGATGTTTTGGCGAGGGGAGAGGGGTGAAAGAGAGGGCTAACCAGAATGTTCTAGTGCTCCGATGGTATGTTGACGATTCTTAAACAGCACTGGAAAATGACTTTCTCCAACGTGGGGAAGGAGATCTAGAGATTGAACGTATTGAAACAATTAACTGTGGTCAGATCTGTGTTCTCTGTGTTGTTTACATGTATGTACTGTATGTGCATAAAGGAAAATATGAGAGTCAATGTAATATGGGCACATGTTTACGTTGGCATGATTCAAAATGGGCTGTACTCTTCAATAACATGAATTACTGACAGTTTAGCTGTAAACTGTGGCTTCAGGCAGCCATTCAACTGAGGGCCAGCCAGAGATTAGAGCTGATGAACAGTAAACCACAGCAGAGAGCAACTTACCTTCTTCTTGCTGCAGTAGATCTGCCATTTCTTTTCATCGGGCAGAGCGAACATGGCCTCCCGGTTCTTGTCCGTGAGGTCCAGCTCATCCTGCAACAACAAAGGAGGCAGTTTTAGCAACACAGTATTTGTCTTTAAACCATTGCACACATTGTTGTTTCTACTAGAACATGTGAACATGCTTTTAGGCTGAAAAAACTCATTATTTCTGTCATAAATGATATCACAATTTACATTCATTCACCCTCAGTCTTACACGCGCCTCTCTCTTTAAGCCCCGCTGCTGAAAAAAAAAAAGAAGCCCGGTCCTCTCTGCTTGGTTCTCACGTTGCTGGTGAAGATACCCAGAAAAGAGGACGATATCAGGGCTGGGAAATATATATATTATATTTTGATATTGAAATACATATCGTCTTTGATTTTGGATGTTGAGATATTCTTTCCTGGTTTTAAAGGCTGCACTACAATAAGGTGTGTTTTTTATGACTGTTCTAGCTGTTCTGTTGTTTACCTTTACCCACTGTCTCCACATTACTGATGACTATTTATTCAAAGTAATCACAGGGAGACACATGAATACTACCAGCCCCAGCCTTCGGCACACAATCAGACTATCCCTTTTGTTTTGTTGTCACTATATCAATACGGAGCCAAAGATTGTTAGCAGTGACTGCAGATCATTGGATGAGTTGAGTTTACACAGCGACATTTGATTGTCTGACCCCCCCCACTGTCTGACTGAGAACTGGTCTCCGCAGACCACAGAGGAGGGTTTTAATATTCACCCTGCTGCTCTGCTCAATTCTTCTGCTCAGTACATGGAGCCTCCTGCACCTTTTGAAATGCATATGAGGCCCGGAAATGAGTCTCTGTATGCCTGGGAGGAAAAAGTAAAGTCTCAGAAAGAGAAGTACATTTAAGGGAGAATGAGAGAAATGGAGGAAGGAGACCGAACAAATAAAGGGGCTGTGTGGTTCTGGAAATGGATCAGGACAAAAAAATTGAGGATGAGATGCCATAGCGCGTAGAGCTTTGTGCTCTGCTTCAAACTAATCTCATGATAATGGTTTTGCTACCATGACGTCAGGCAGAAGTGCTGGGCCTCCAAGGCCCCCCAAAGTGAAGATGGCTACCAGCGCCAGAGGTGGGGCCCCTTAAAGCCGGCCAGTAGATCCACAGGGTTTGTTTTCATCCATTCAGCTGGACCGGGTAGGGTGAGGTGGCCCACATTCCAAGTACCCGACACTATGAAGGATGACATCATCTCTCACACAGTGCTTTCAATGGGAGAACCAGCAGCAGCATGATTGTGGTTTTGGCAAAAAAGGAAAAATCTGAAGGGTGTGAACTTCAAGGGGGTCTAATACAGATAGAAACCACAAAGAAGCTTTGGAATCTTTGGTCAAAGCCTCATTTCATCTTAGCAGCATGAATTAAAGAGTGAATTGTGACTCACAACGAGAGCTTAGCATCTCGCGTCTACATTAACTGCTGCAATAAATGAATACCATTGATATTAGTGTGCTGTTATGTGTGGCCTGTGCGCTCTCAAGAAGAAAACGAACCATCTTTGCAGCTAAACATCTAACCACTGACTCTTCGTCCTTCAATCTTTACAGATTTTAGCTTTGGGTTGGACCACGATCCTCTCTCCACATCCCCAGGCTTTAAAACCGAGGCTGAGAAGCCAGCTCGTCTCTGGCATGTGGCCCGGTCGCCGGGTCAAAGCCCCGCTGTCCAAGCTGCTGCTGTTTGGAAGAGCTGATACTAGGAGTTGGTTGGGAAATCAGCGAGAATGAGACCCCTGGATTTGAACCAGATGGGAGCTGAGCCCGGTACTTGATCTCTTTGCTCTTTCTTGCTCTCAATATCTTCTCCCCAGGCCTCTCAATGTAACGTCTTATTTGGAACTTATCGGAGAGCAGGATATACATCAGCAATGAAAATGAGGATTAAGGTGTCCCAGACATGCAGGTTCAACAGTTTAGCGGAGCAGGTAAGCTATCGGAGGAAACAAGAATTCCACTTAAAAATAGGTATATGATTACATAAGGCCTTTACGTAAGATTTAAGACGTATGAGGATAAAGGCAAAGTCAAGTATGGCAGCAGGAACAGGAAAACAGGAAAGGAGTGGCAGGGTGGACCAAAGGCTAATGCATCAGGAGATGTTATAATGAGAACTGCATGTTTCATTTAGTTGTTAGTCAAGCAGAAGGGTCGCCAGTCTTATCAGAGAAAGGAAAGATTAAGTTGAGGATGAAGACATCGACTTTTCTATCCAGTTATGCAATATTTTACCTTTTTCTTTCACCTCCAACCCCCAAATGACTTAAAAACGTGCTCCAACATGACAGCTCCATCACATGGCCTGTCCAAACAAGTCAAACCCAAAAAACAACCTAACTCAATCTTCCAAAACAAAACAGGACCGCTTTCCACATTACTTTGAAAAGCTTCTCTTGATATGCCTCCGTCCTCCTTGGCCAGCACACTCCAGTCGGGAATTCACATAAACCAAAACTAATATTGTAACACCTGCTGACCGAGAGGCGAAAATACATACCTAAGGCTTCTCAACCTTTTCTTTTTCCTCCACAAACGCCTATTGAATACTGTTACAAATTCCAAAAAGATGTCACGATTGTGAGCTGTTTAGATCTTTTAAATGTCTGTTTCTCTAGACTGATGAGCTTTCCGTATTTGCTGACATAATACAGAAGATATGGTGTAGAAAGATGGCGCTTAAAGCGAAAAATAAAACAGGTCTTCTACCATAAATTTGGTCAAATAAAGTCATTTTGAAACTATTGAATTTCATGTCATCATTCAATCATTTCATATTACGTCTATTCCGCAATATCATTTTGAATGTTGTATGGATTTTCTATCTTGTTAGCTCTATGGATTCATACAATCCAAAGGAAAGCACTTTAAAACCCTTTTAACTTGTCTTTATTTTACCATAGTTGGTCAAATCTTAGGAGTTTGTGCCACTCACGTCTCTCCGTTGACTTTGTATGCATCACACAATGTCTAAAATTCACTTTCAATGCTGTCTCAACATAGAAGATGTTGGTAATGTACTCTATGTAAATGTTTTCTTTTGGACAGAGTCAGGCTAGCTGTTTGCACCTGCCTTATGATATGTCCTACTATTCCTCTAAACAGCAACTATTCAGAGTAGGAATCACTGGGAGATCTTTAGGGAGAATGAGCTTAGTTACCTAGAATGTATTACTGTAATTCCCATCAGGGATTATGATGAAGAAGATATATATATTTTCCAGCAGACATGTCTTATATATTAACATTCATTTGTATGACATAATAGGATTCAGATGATATAACATGTATGTGGCGTTTATGCATACCATATAGAAAGCATGTAAAGGAAGAGAGACGGATGAGTAGCAATGACACATCGGAGAAAATTCAGAGTAGTGTGGGAAAACAGAGATGAACTGAAGGACAGGAGTATGGCAAAAGGTTGACAAAAAAGTAGAGAGTGCAGTTGGGATAAAGATGGAGGCAATGCAAACTTGACACCAAAATGTTAGCGAAACAAACTCCACAGGAAGAGTAAGGGTCAGTGAGTGAGTAGGTGTGAGTGCCTGGCATACTGTAGGAGTGTGAGTGGGTGTGTCTCTGTGACAACTGACTGAGGATGTGTGAGGCTCCACCTAAATGGGAAATGTGTGTGGTCCAAGAATGACATCCTTTCACACGCATGTGCGGCTATGAAGCGGCGTTTCCAGAGGGCACGTAAATGTTTCTACCTCATGTCAAGTCTTACAGTATTGGCAGAGCGGGTCTGTCTGATGTAACGCTTACAAACACACACACACACACACACTGTACTGTCTATATATCCTGCAGCAGTCTCTGGGCGAGACAGGAAGTCAGAGGAAAGACAGGCAAGATGGCAGGAAGTCATACGAGGCCACCAGGGAGCCAACAGGAAGCTGTAGCTGCCATTATTGACCGAAACGAGTTTTAGGGATTGTGTGTGTGTGTGTGTGTGTGTGTGTGTGTGTGTGTGTGTGTGTGTGTGTGTGTGTGTGTCTAGGCCTGTCATAATATTTTTTATTGACACTATATTGTAACGTAAAAAACATGATTGTCATTTTAAGACCTGATAACGATAATATAATAGCAAAGTAAAACTTTTGAAACACAAATCAAATTAAATTCTAAAGAATATACAGACTTCTGATTTGGAAAGTGAAACAAATTGTTAGTATCCCAAAAAATAAATAAAATTGACTTTGTTGACAAAAATGTGCATTGTCTGTGCAATTTCCATGACTTATAATAGTAGGAAAAACCCTGCTGTTTAAAATGCTTGGCTCCAATATTGGCAAAAAAACTCTTATTTTAACAAACATACAAATCATAAACAGGGCATTATTGATGTCAGCAAAAATAAATAACATAAAAATGATATGAATCTTGTCCAAATATCATATAGGATTGTTGATAATGTAAAATGATCGAGTGTTAATAACGTACAATACATTGAAAATGTGGTTACAAGTCCATATATTAATTACCATGACCAATGTGTGTGTGCTACAGCAGTCATAGCCTCACAAAAAGTCCTAGAGTTCTTCAGACAAGGCATTTACATGAGTCATAGTATCCTTCATGAGTCTACTGCCTCTCGAAACAAGGCTCTACTACTTCCATTATAAGGTCGGCTGGGGACAGTAAGAGCTGGTAGGAAGAGAACATTGGAAATGGGAAGCCCGTTAGATTAATGAAAGGGAGGGAAAGATGGTGCATCCCAGGTCGTACACTGTGGAGGAAACTCACTCATAATGGCTCAGAGGGTGGAGAACATTTCCATTCTCTGCTGTCTTGCAATGCATTTATGATTTGTGTCCGGCTTCGGAAAGTTAGGAGAGGATTTGGGTTCTGAAAGAGTCTTGTATGGATTGTGAGTCACATGGATTGGAAGCTATTAAAAGGTTGTGGCGGACAGATTGACACTGGACAGCTGGACAACTGCCCAGAGTGGTTGGATTAAAACTGTCCCAAATATCGAGACGGAGAAAAAAAGAATGAGGCTACCACATAGAAGAAAGAGAC